TGATGAAATTTGGTGTATAGTTTTATTACATCAATACCTTGACTAAGTTCGATAATGAGCATTTTCTGCTCAGGGTAAGCAGAGTGATAAGCAATTTGATTGGTCGAGATTTTGGAACACAATAACTCTCCCTCTAATTGAGCTAGAATGTTCACACTTGGCGTAGGTGTTTATTAGGTGAATGCCTTGATGGAGTTCGAAGATGAGAATTTTCTGCTTAGGGTAAGCAGAGATAAGCAATTTGATTGGTTGATGCTTTGGGACATGATAACTTTAGTTTTAATTAAGTGAGAGTGAGGACACTTGGTGTATAGTTTAATCACATCAATAACTTGACTAAGTTCGATAATGAGCATTTTCTGTTTAAGCTAAGGAGTTAAAAGCAATTTGATTGGTCGAGACTTTGGAACACAATAACTCTCTTTCTAATTGAGGTAGAATGTTTAAACTTGATGTAGATTCATTAGGTGAATGTCTTGACTGAGTACAATTATAAACATTTCGAGCTAAAGCTAAACAGAGCTAAGCAATTTCATTGATCAATGCTTTGGGACAAGATAACTTTGATTCTATCTGATAGAGAGTGATGAAACTTAGTGTATAGTTGATAATCAGTTTGATTTCTTGATACTTTTGAAAAAAATAAATGTGTGATTAAATAATATGTGTCATTTATTTATTTTGGGATTTCGGTGGGGAACATTAGTCTCACTGTTGGCTAGTTATCCTAAATCTCAGTTTTGATGCTAGGTTTTCATCGTTTTAAATTTAGTATTTAATCTAGGCCTAAACTTAATGGTTCCTGATGTTTTTTTGGGCTAATTGATACGCATGTAGTTATCAGCTATGATCAGTGACAGTTTTTGTGAGTTAGAGAATCCATTTATCCCTTCACGATGGGTATTGTTCAGTGTCAATACTGCATTATTGTGCATAATAAAACAATGTAGACCAGACATCAGTTAGTTTCAACTTCTACAATTTCTTTAGAATCAGCTGTTGATCATAATTAGGGGACGAATAGTCCTTGGGAAAGAGTTGTCAGGGGAATAGTCGTCCGGGGATGAATTTTATCCCATACCGGACTTTAGTAATGATGATCGAAGCTAGGCCTAAAATTCAAAAGCTAATATCTCGGTTCAGAGTGGATCAATTTGACTCAAATTTTCAGCCAATTCCCTTTACATATATGGTTGTATATTGTTGTCGCCCCGGCGTCCACAAGCTAGAGGCTACAGTTAATATCCGATTGACTTTAAATTTATACACAGTGTTTAAGGTCATGAGACGAAGAAGCCTATTGATTTTCAACGATTTCCGATAATTACTGCCAACAAAGTTATGGCCCTTGATCACTTTGAAAAATCTTGTGACGCTCTAGAGGCTAAAGTTATCATCCGATTGACTTCAGGTTGATACACAGAGTCTTAAGGTCTTGAGATGAACAAGTATATTGATTTTCAATGAATTTTGATAACTTGAACAGCTAAATCCATGATAGTAAATGTTTCGCATACTAAATGTTAGCATGGGGCAGAACTTTTTAAAAACCAAACAAATTCTAATGATTTTCTGATAATTACTTAATGAGTTGTTACTCTTAATCAGATTTTAGTGTATTATAAATGTTTTATTACCGAAAAAAGTAAAAATATGCGACAACTCTTGTTGACTGCCCGACGATTTAGCTGCTGTTGGTGTATGTTTCGTTGCCTGGTAACCTATCTTTAACTATTATAGTGAGATATGCTAGCTCTTTATCTATTCTCTCATAATGCCCCTTTAATTGTGTATTCTAAATTTAAAATGGTATAGTGTAACATTTTCAAGTTGTTCTCTGGCCTATATTATTGTTAATTAAATTCATAGCAAACTAGATGATTTCAATGAAAAATGAACTTTTGTGTGTTTTGATTCGGGGTGCGGTAGAGTATTGGGTGTGGGTGAAGGGTTGTGGAGAGGGGAGAGTCTTACCTTCTCAGTCGGCTTACTATCTAGCCAAAATGGTGTCAATGTCTGTCTGTTTTATTTTAGGAGTTTGGGCTTTTTTATTTATTTTTTTAAAATTTGTATTTAGGGAGAATTGAAAAGAATGTGCTGACCTAAATACTTCTTTTTTTTCCAAATAACTACATGTACATATTATACATAATTGACTTTATGGATCAGGAAATGTTTTGCCTTTTGTGTTTGGCAATATTTAAATCATATTAAAAATTGCGACAGTAAAAAAACCAACACCAACCTTTGCGTAGCTTTCATTGCAATTACATTCTATTTGCTCAGCCCATAAATTGAAGGCTAACAGACGTCCATTCCAATGAATTGTATTAGGGAGATAACTCTTTGATGTTTGATTTACAAGATGGACTAGTAATTCTCTCCCACTGTCTTAAATCCAAGTAATTTCTTGGACAATGACATTTTTATACGTCCTGTCTCTCTATATGTCTGTTCACAGTTTGTTTCTGGACACTCTACAATTCACAATTTGTATCCGATTTTGACAAAACTTAAAATGTAGAGTTATATCCCAAAGAACTTGGTTCCTACCAATATTGGCTAATTGGGTAAGACATATAGACGTTGGCTCGCTAGCTTTGAAGTCGCAGGTTTGCTCCTGGCTTTGGCTGAGAAAGTTTATCTGGAATTTCCGATGTGGTTTCCCCTTGTCAGTGGTGCAGGACAGAGAGCCTGACAAGGACAGCTGTCTAGTCATTCGGATGGGATGAAAAACCGAGGTCTTGTGTACACATTGGCGTGAACATAAAAGATCCCATGGCAGTTGGAATTTGATATAAGAGTAGGCCTTAGTGCCACTGTTCAGGCAGAATTTCCCTCATAGCACACCTCACTAGTCCAGTTGGAGCAGACCAGTAGGACGTTAAACCCCATTTTATTTCATTTCCTATCGCTATTGGCATGTATCGGACCATAAATTTGTGGTTATGGCCCCTCATTGTAAGAAAAACCATGTATTTAGCTTGTGGACGGTTGAGTTTGAATTTCGTGATAACTGGACCAAAACTATCTGACAAAATGGCCGCTCCTTGTACGCAAATAGTATAAAAGTCTGTAATACCAAGATTGTGGACGTTGTTGAACCTTGTGAACGCTCAAACGCCAAAATTTTTATGCATTATTTAAATTAGTGAAAAGAAGAAGCCTATTGAATTTCAGCAATTTCCGTTTATTACTTCTAGAGTTATGGCCCTTGTTTCACTTTGTTGCACCTTGTGAACTCTCTATCCTCTACAGTTATCTGCCGATCTGTATGAAATTTATATGCATCATTTAAATTAGTAAAAAGAAGAATCCTTTTGAATTTCAGCAATTGCCATTTTTTACGTCTAGAGTTATGGCCCTTGTTTCCCTTTGTTGAACCATGTGAACGCTCTGACACCAAAAGTTATCATCCAATCTTTGTGAAATTTATATGCATTGTTTAAATTAGTGAAATGAAGAAGCCTATTGAATTTTAGCAATTTCCGTTTATTACGTCTAGAGTTAGGGCCCTTCTTTCACTTTGTTGAACCTTGTGAATGCTTTAATGCCAAAAGTTATCACTCGATCTTTGTGAAATTTGTATGCATTATTTAAATTAGTGAAACGAAGAAGCCTATTGAATTTCAGCAATTTCCGTTTATTATATCTAGTGTTATGGCCCTTGTTTCAATTTGTTGAACCTTGTGAAAGGTTGTCATCAGATCTGTATGAAATTTAAATGCATCATTTAGATTAGTGAAACCATGAAGCCTAGAGTTATGGCCTGTGTTTCACTTTGTTAAACCTTGTTAATGCTCGATTGAAGAAAGTTATTAAGATATGTATGAAATTTATATGCATCATTTAAATTTGTGAAACAGATGTCTATTGAATTTCAGCAATTTCTGTCAATTATTTCTAGAGTTATGGCCCTTGTTTTACTTTGTGAAGCTAATGAACGTTCGAATGACAAAAGTTACCATCCGATCTGTATGAAATTTATATGCATTATTAAAATTAGTAAAACAATAAAGCCTGTCAAATTTCAAAATTTTCTGTAAATTACTTCCAGAGTAAAGGCCCTTGTTTCAGTTTGTAGAACCTTGTGAAACCTCAAACGACAAAAATTATAATCTGATGTGTATGAAACTGTCTTGTAAGTGCCCCCAATTACCTACAAAAGAATAAATATGCAACAACGCTTGTTGACGGCACAGATGATTTAGCTGCTGTGGACGTATGCTTCGTTGCTTGGCAACCTATCTTTTCCTAGTGTGCCACTAAAATGCTTTGTATTAATTTTCCTTGAACATCAATTGTAGTCCGCTGGGACCCAAAAAGTATAAATTCATTTAAAGATTTGTTGTTCTTCATCTGTCTATTGTTTGGGGAGATTTTGACTGTTTTCAACAACGGAGTGGACGGTTACGGCCAGCCTCCAGACCAATCTTCTTGATCTAATATGTGCGTTTGTTGTTTACGGTTTCTGTGTATATTGTGTCATGTTCATAGGTTTGTCTTGTATAATTGTTTGTGTGTGATTATATCCCCCTGCACATACTATTAATAAATAAATGTGCAAGCATTCTTAGGCACTGTTTGATGTTTTTTTTATTAATATAGTGGATCAAGCTCTATATGTTAAATATTTATTTCAAAAGATTAAGTTGAATATTTGGCTTACTCGGTATGGTCTTGCCAATGGAACGCAAAACTGGCTTTATCTATAGAAATAAAATATTTTTAATGAAGACATTTTTTCATCAATCAAAGAATTGTCAGCTTTATTTTTGTTGTGTCATTTTGAAATATTTAAGATATTTGTTAATTATTTTGAGCTGTGACACTGAATAATTTTCGAAGCGACCTACATGAAAGTGGCCTATGTTTTAAATGTTTGTGGGCCCACATAGGTATATCTTATTTTGTGACAGCCTGTATATAAATTTCAGAGCTATATAAAATATTTATTAGTAGTTTGAAAAAGAGTGAATTAAATTTATTATTTCTTTTAGGAGGATCCACAATTAGATCAAGCATTTCAACTAATGGAGACATTAAATTTTGATGATAGTTTAACTTTACAACAAGATACAGTTGGATCTGAGGTAAAATTTAGTATTGTGCATTAAGTATCAAATACGATAGTATTTTGACCCTAAGAGGTTTAAGTCATTTAAAATAGTGTTTTATAATACATAATTAGACAGTTTATAATAGCAAAAATATTAATGCTCCCACAAATGCACTACAAAAAATTAATTTTTAGGTTGAATCTCTTTGTATTTTATTTTTTCAGACTGAATTAAATTGCTAATTTCCAGAAAGAAGTGTCTGCAGAATTGGATCCCCCCCCCACCCACACACACACACTCAAAAAACAAAAAGAAAAGCCATGAGAGAAATATATTGTTTTACAGAAGCTGACCAGAGGAAATGAATATTTTATTATTCGCACACATGGAAATGAGGTATATTGTCGTCGCCCCCGTCCGTCCATCCATCGTCCTCAATTTCTTCTTAACACAGAGTACATTTATCATCTGATTGTTTTGAAATTGATATATGTTGAGATGAAGATGTCTATTTAATTTCAATAATTTCTGTTAATTACTTCTAAAGTTATATACCTTGTTTTACTTTGTTGAACCTTGTGAACGCTCTTAACAACAAATGTCATCATCCGATCATTATGGAGTTTACATGTATTATCTGAATTAGTAAGACGAAGCCTGTCAAATTTCAACAAATTCTGTAAATTATTTCCAGGGTTAAGGCCCTTGTTTCAGTTTGGAGAACCTTTTGAATCCTCAAAGATTGAAAATTATAATCTGATCTTTTTGAAATGGTCTTGTAAATGCCCCCCATTACCTACAAAAGAATAAATATGCAACAACCCTTGTTGACCACTCGGATGATTTAGCTGTTTTGGGCGTATGTTTTGTTGCCTGGCAACCTATCTTTAACATTTTAAATAAACATAAACATTCCTAAAGAAGTATGAATATCAAACCACAATCATTTAATTTTGCTCATTTGTAAAGTTCTCATTTGACAATGCACAAAAGACATACAAATAATACGCTATTATTGTATTTTAGATAATATTATACCCCTAAATTGTACTTTAATAAATGTATTACAATATCTTTTTCACTATGAAATCGGTGACTTTTATTATTTAAATGTATACATTATATTATCTGTGGCTTTCATAAGTTGATTACCATTCCTTAAAGTTATATGTCCATCATGTACATCTAATGTCCTCTTGTTTAAGAAGAGTGTCTCCCTTTGCTATATAGTCATAGTACAATTTTTTTGTGTGCAATGTCTAGCTGTTTTCAACCAGATTAATGATTATCAAAATGTAATGAGGGTATAAATAAAATGGTTTCATCCTTTTGTCTGTCCATCACATGTTTTCGGACACATTAAAATAACTCTGCTTCTAATTAAAGATGCATTATGTAGAATTTAGATAAAGCTAGTCGTTCTTGCTATAAAAGTTCACATTTAAATTATGAAAGATGAATTAGCTCTTACATAATGTATCTTTAAACTAGAATGTTCAAACTTGCTGTAGGTGTTTATTAGGTTAATGCAGGGTTCTTAATCCATTTCGAAATGAACCGGCCGGAATTGGGTCAAATGAGGTCCCTGTAGGAAATTATAATATTCCATTCCCTTTAATATAACCGGACTTCAACAAAAATAATTCTTGGTAATTTGTTATGAGGAATATGGTATTCTAATGTATGTAATTTTCACAAAGCTAATGTCTTGACTGCATTAGATGACAAACATTTTCTGCTTAGGCTATGTATAGATAAGCAGTTTGATTGCTCGATGCTCTACAAAAAGATAAATGTGCAATTAATTAAACCTACATTATGCAAGAGCTAAATCTGCCCATTGCAGGCCTTTCTTTAGGCCTGAAATGCTATATAAACTATTAATTAGATATTAATTAACTTATCCAAACCATAATCAACTCTTGATGTCATCTTATGTGTCGGATTTTCACTGGTTTGGATTCCAATCTGCTGCTCAACACTCATTGATTAAATCCAAAATTTTGTTTTATTGTACCATAATGTATCTTTAATATGTGTCATCTATTTACTTTGGGATTGAGGCTGGGGGCATCAGCCTCACTGTTGGCTTGTTATAGCTGCTCTTAACAATTCAGCAGGAAGATTTTAAAAGTGGATGTATATTAATGTCAACTGTCCGTCCATCTGTTTAGGGTTTTTGTGGACAAGTAAACATTAAGAAGTGTTAAATCAGATTTGCTTATTTTTATGTCAGAACAGTGTGCCATATTTAATATTTATGGAATTACAGTGGTTGCTTGGAATATTCTGTTCTATATAAACAGTAAGAAAAATTTGTCCAAATTGGATGAAACCTTCAGAGGTTTATTCTCACATCATATAGATATGCTGTGCCCTTTTTATTATTGGAGAATTTTAATTGATGTTAACAGAGTTATTTCTCTTGTTTTAAAAAATCTGTTCACAATCTGATTAAAACACAGATCCTATTTCGTTTCGTTTTTTTATAGTTCAAAATTTTGTTTTACCTGTCTTTGCTACACTAGGATCTGGAAGATCCACGTTCTGGATGTAGTGAGCGATTAGCCAATAAAATGGTCTGTTATGGCGAGTTTTTGGCGTGAGCGGCACGGAACTGTGGGTAACTCACTAGAAAACATCAACGTTGAATGGTTAATCAAATGTCTGACATCATAGGTTCAAAAGCCACTCGTATGACTTCTGATGCAACCTTCCACTACAACTGGTTAGATCTTCATGTAGTAGATGCCATCGAAAGTATAAAAAATGAAATGAAATATAGATCTGTATTTTAATCAGATTGATCTGTTCATAATTATTAATTGCTTAGCAATGTGCAATTTGTGTAGCAAACTATTATCATGTGACATCACTTTTTAACCCAATCAACAATTAGTTAGGTTGCCATTGAGTTTATATTGTTTTAGGGCCTACCATTTACAAGGCTAGTGCATATTTACTGGCACATTATATTTAATGGAAACTTCTGTTAATTGTAATTTTAATTTTAAAAATGTTATGAAGCATTGTATAAAACACATATTATTTATATTATTCATTAAATCATTCTATATATATATATCATCAATACAGGTATTTAACCATGTCATCTTGATAATCAGTTTATTATCAATCTAATTATATTATTCATAGCGAAACATGAAACCAAAAGACCATAGTCCTTTACATTGTAATATATACCACACCAGTTGATTTGTATAATGATACTAATTATGTTGTGATTACCGTGTTGATCTCATTCTCATGTTTATTGTTTTATACTAGTTTTCATGTCAGCATGGCACATTTTATTAAAATTTATCTTAATATATGTACAGTATTTAAAATTATTTGAATTTTCTTTAAAAATTGTGAACATCTTTTGTATATGTAAGTTTTATTTGTATGTCCATTGATTTCAATTTGTTAACAGTATAAACCAATTCTTACTGGCACACTATTTTATAGGCCCACATTTTCATATGGAGGTATTATGCCGTTGCCCCTGTCCGTCCGGACTTCTGTCCGTCTACAATTTGTTTGTGGACACTCTTTAGGTCACAATTTTTATCTGATATTGACAAAACTTGAAATATAGGTCTATCTCCCCAAAATCTTGGTTCCTTTCGATATTGGCATGTATTGGACCATAACTTCATGGATTATGGTCCCTGATTGTACAAAAAAATCACGTTTTTAGCTTGTGGACAATAGAGGTAACGATTTTCATCTGATTTTGATGAAACTTGAAATGCATGTTTATAACCCAAAGATCTTGGTTCCTTTCGATATTCGCACATATTGGATTGTAACTTCCTGATTTATGGCCCCTGATCGTACGAAAAATTGTGTTTTTTGCTTGTGGACCCTCTAGAGGTCAAAATTATTATCCGATTTAAAAAAAACGTAGGAATATATCACTGTTACACCCTGATGATGGTTGACAAAACGGCTGCTCCTTGTACGCAAATAGTGTAATAGTATGTAATACCAAGGTTGTGGACGCTCTAGAGGTCAGAATTTTTATCCGATTTTGATGAAACTTAAAATATATCTTTATATCCCAAAGATCTGTCCCTTTCGATATTGCGTATTTCAGACCTAACTTTGATTATGTCCTTTTTTTTTATGGATTAATGTGTTGTGATTGATGTAATTTTATATAAGTTGTACTTATGTAAAGTGCCCGAGAGCAGCTCGCTGAGTTGAATTGTTGGCGGTATATATAAATCAATTATTATTATTATTATTATGGCCCTTTATTGTATGAAAAATTGCTTCTGTTTTTAGCTTGTTCTCTATCCATCTCTTGCAAAATGTGGGCATATCTTGCCTGGCAACTGCTGGTTTCTAAAAGTATAACTCAAATTCCATCCAAACTATCCATCTATTTTCATTGTGTATATTATCACTATCTGTGTTGCTACACTTAGTACATGTATTGTATTTTTTTATTTCTAATCATTCATCTTCAATAGGTAAATATTTTAATATTATATTTGGATATCTTTATGAAATTAAATATAATCATGGTGAATTAGAATTTTTATTTTAAGGAAAGGGAACAATTTTGTTTGTATTTTACAGTATCCAAACTCTTATCAAAGTTGTATTTTATATTTTTGTCCAGTATTTTATTATCTTTTTCATAAAGATTACTTCAATTTTCTTTTCTTTTCTTCTCATTTAGACTTATGCACTTTCATAATGCAAAGGTTTTGTTAGATGCACAATCTTTTCAACTGTTATTTTTTTTATTCTTTCCAATTTCATATATATTACTAGGGTTTATGATTGATAATGCAAAGAATTTATTAATAGATTATAGATATAAACTTGTTAGATAATTAGATAGTTTATGTTACATAGGTATTCAGCTAGTCAAGCTTGCAAGTCTTTTGCAATGAAATAATTTATAGAGAGACTTTTTGTTGAGCATTGAGGTTTACATAGTTTATTGCATGTTATTTGGGGTAATAATTCTTTTCTTTTGTTCTTTCAATGTATTCAAATCAATTTTATGTATCTTTCAATATGAAATAAATTGAAGAATTGACTTTTAAACCTTTATAGAATATTTTTAACTTCAATATTTTGCATACATTGACAAAAGTGTATATATAAAGCAAATGAAATCATTATAAAAACAACATTGCTTTTACAATGAATTCGCTATATAAAGAAAAATAAAATAAACTTTATTTCTTTCACATACATGTGTATTTTTTTTTTACTTCAAAATAAACCTTACTTAATACACTTTAAAAAATACCCTTCATTGTATTCAATTTGAGGGCACAAATTTGTTTAAGAATAGGTTAACTGAGACCATCGCATATTAGTGCCATTCTCCAGTGTTATATTATAACATTGGCAGTAACTGGCACTGTTTATATAATCTCCAGTGTTTTATAAAGTCCCAAATTGCTGGTACCGTATGTTATAATGCATCTCAAAAGATTATTAACATATTATGGGAGATAACGGTATTCAAAATGCAGCATTTAGTGTCCTGCGATTTTATTATATTTTATATCTTGGAAACTGGCTAGTTGCCAATCAGCACTATTTTGTTCCACTGATAGTGGTATTTACAGATATTGCAAACGGCAAAGTTTAACAAATGGCATAAATTTATGTTATGTATTTGTGAAAATTTTGGGAAATATTCAGAATAATGAGCTTTCAAAAATGAACAAATTAAATTGTAGTAGGCTAAGCTATTTGAAATGGATTCATCGAACGTTGTGGAATTAAAGAACTTGATCTACAAATTGATACAGAGTTTGTAAAATATGGCCACCTAAATAATTTATAACCAGCATGTAGTAATAAAAATATATTTTTGGACATCGGGTCAATGAATCAAAGATCTTACTTCTTTCCATGCCTCCAATTTACATTCTCAATTGAATTAGACAGATACATGTAGGCCTAGTTAGTTAGTAGAACAAGGGGGACTTAAAATTAACCAATTTTCAAAAGTATTTTCATGACCCCTGAATGAAATCATGGTTATTCAGACTTGTTCATACGAAAGGATTGGAATCCCTGGAGCTGTGGGGCATTTAAGGAGTATTATGAAAATACACTTAACATTCACATTATGAGTCTTCTATGTATGGGTAATTTCTAAAAGGCCATAATTTACGGAGAAGAGAACGGTTGGATGGGTTATGTTAAGCAGTATGGATTGCTAAATTAATTTTATTACCAGGTATTTCAAGTAATGACCATAAACCAACTTTTGAGATATGTATATAAGGCTCTTGGGATAATTTTTTGGTGTGCCTGTTTAACCCCTTATTCAGCCATTACACAGCCATTAAAAAATGATCTCTAAGACATAACACAGAAACTATCAAGTAGGCCTATAGACTAATCATTGCAATTAATTATGAATTAATCCATCAATCTAAATGCTGCATGTTATGGATAGTAACTGTGATCGCAAGAGTGTGCACAAGATTCTATGAAGTGGTCAAGGGTCAAGAATTATGCAGTAATATTAAGGAATTATATTTGAATGGAATATGATTGTAGCCTACCTTAAGTAAGATATGGTGTTGGACAATGAAAGCCATTGAAGGGAACATGGACTGACAGCAATAGCCTATTGGGCTACGATCCATGTATAAAAATTATCTTTATAGATTTCAAGTATAATTAACACGACTCTATTATTACTATTCTTGGGATACTCCCGACGATTTCCACTGATCTCACTAAAGCAGAGTTATCTTCCCGTTGTATGTCACCATCATAGATTTAACTAATACCATACCGGTACTTTAGGCCTAACACCGTAAAGATGATTGGTTTCTGATATTGATATTTGTCTCTAACCATCAAAATCAAATAATCAAAGGTGATTAATATAGTTCATTTGTAGTGATGACGTATTTTCAATGTCCACCTGCCATGGTTTAATTCTCAAGAACATATTTTGCACTTTTCACTGGAAAACTAAAAAAACGAAAGTAGAAACTGTTTACCTGAAAATCTCGTCTTAAGAATTTGTGACAGGCCGACTTTAATTCATTCATACTAACGAAATAGCCGTGGTTGAGCTGTTACCCTGACTCATATATAGAACTCGTGTAAAATTGACCTTCTCATAATGTATAATTTATGTATAGGCCTAGCCTAATAATCACAGGAATCTGACCTTCTATTAATTATCCGTAGGCTATATTATATGCATAGGCCTACATCATAAGCCTACTCAACTAGACAATGACAATATAGGCTATAATAAAAAATATACAAAGATGCCTATGGTATAATTTACATGCTGCCCGAAAAGGTTGCTTTATGCATGTTCAGTTGATCTCATTGGGACTGGAACTAGTGCCACTAGTGGGACAGTGGAAGTGTAGGCCTAACTAAGATTGCAAACAACAGTTATAGGGCCTATTATAGGACCTGGGAGAGGGCCTAAAAAAAATGAATAAAAAGCAGTATGACAAATATAATAACAAATCAAAGTCGGCAGACATTTGTGACAAAAGACACACACTGATGTTTTTATCACAATCAGCAGATTTCTCTAACAATGTAGGTTAACATAGGCCTACATGTAGGCCTACACCGTCGTAGAAAGGTATGCGATACCTTTTTGGAAAGGTACATAATTAAGATTTCAATAATTTGTATAAGGGAATCTGTGTGGAAATTTACGAAGGTTTTGAAAACTGATAAAAAAAAAAAAGTGTCTTATCATCTCAGTGATTGTTCCATGGCCGTCAGCCCACCAATTAAGAAGACTGGTGATTGGAAGGATCATGAATAGATTGACTGAAAACTTATACAACTTCACCAACTCTTTAGGGCCGGCATGCTATTTCAAAACATATTTTTATCTGTCAAAAAAGCAACACAATCAACCAAAATAATGCTTTGACTCCAAAAAATTACCCACATCTGCTTTTGGAAATCCTACATATAGATATGTAGCTACTGGTCAAATTTGATTTCAGAGGTGCTTTTGATTTTTTACAAGCAGAGTTTGAATCCATGTGCAGTTTTCTGGTTGTATTTCTTTATTAGGTATTACAAAATGCTAATAATCATGAAACAATTACGGTAGTCTAGGTGACAATTTTCTATATGGTAGGCTATTGATATCTTATGTTATAATGATACAAAATTTTTTAGAAGTACAGAGTGCCTGGAGAAAATGGATGAAACATTGATTAAATTGTTCGCCAGTGAAAGAATACTGATAGATGGTGTGGATGTCACATGCACTAATGCAGGTATTGTTTTAAATAAGTTTTTATCAGATTTACATAGACAAAAAATATATATACCAATGTCCAAAAGAAAGTATACACTGTGCATTTCGTCCTGCTTCAAACAAAGTCGTTTTTCCATTGTATGCGGTATTTGGGTACGATGTCAATTTGTTTTGCTATTTATTTGCGTAGAAATATTGAGTTTGGACGCACGAGACATGTTCAGTGTAGTTTTATCACATTTTGTTGATTCAAACAAAACTTAGTCATATTTTTAGTGCATATACTTTCTTTTGGACATTATTATATAATATAGGTAGATAGATTCATGTAGCCTACAGTTACAGATCCTTTCTTATCCTATGATAACTCCTTTTATTGCTAACCTTTGTTAACACTATCATTTCTGTTGCCCTTGTATTAAAGGCATATTTTGGAGAGCAATGTTTTGGCAGATTCTTTTCACGAGATTTATTACTTTTCAGGAAAAGCCTGTAAACATGATAGAGACCAGATTTCTTGAAAGCTATCATTACCAAATTTGTTCAACATCCAAGTTTTGCTTTACACCTTTTATGTCTGTTCATGTATTTCTTTAAGTAAACACCACACTGGGACAGTAACCCAATAGTTACAGTACTTTTAGTTCTTGTATTGTAACTCTAGTTAATATCATTTCTTAGCGGAGTTTATACCTAGGACAAAAAGAAATATGGGATATATTGTTGGTGGACTTGTATTTAACGATAAAGATGAGATATTGATGATGCAAGAAGCTAAAAGATCGTGTCATGGCAAATGGTATTTACCAATGGGTAGATTAGAACCAGGTGAGAATTTACAGGTAATGTATTTTCTTTGTTTACCCTTTAAATCATATAAATTTGTACATAATTCAAAAACAGCCCGAGTCACAGCTCATTCAAGCTTGCTTTTTATTGTTTTTAAAGTTGTGTGAATCAATAAATTATATTCATTTATTAATAATTGTCATGTGAAGTTTACAGTGGATAATAATAGTGTTTTTAATGCTAGTGTATTATGTTATATTATGATTTTGTGTATAAATACAATACATCAAAACTAGAAAATGCTAGCTGGTAATTTTAGGATTTTATCACTTAGTGAAATTTATATGAAAATCATTATAGATGCATTAGGTATGAGCTAGGTCATTTTGGCTACAAGTGTTATATAAAGTATTATTTAAACATTTATTATTAACATTACAAGCCAATAATCAACTCTCTGGGCCATCGGATGACTCTGATATTAGTGATATTAAGTAGTTTATAAAGCTATGGCCATTTAATGATTTAAATCTAAAAATAGACAAGCGAGGCTAAGTTGAATAACCAATACCGTTGTTACGATAATAAACAATCCATGCAGTATCTCGTCAAAACCTCAAACTGTGACATCATCCCTTAAAATAAAGTAATTTGAATGAAATTGATTTTGCATTACCTATTTTTATACGCCCACATTTTCATGTGGACGTATTATGCCGTCGCCCCTGTCCGTCCGGACGTCTGTCCGTCCGTCCACAATTGTTTGTGGACTCTCTACAGGGCACAATTCTTATCCGATTTCAACGAAACTTGAAATATAGGTTTATCCCCAAAAGATCTCGGCTGCTTTCGATATTGGCATGTATCGGATCGAAACTTCATGGATTATGGCCCCTGTTTGTACGAAAAATCACGTTTTTAGCTTGTGGACCCTATAGAGGTCACAATTTTTATCCGATTTTGTTGAAACTTGAAATGTAAGTTTATAACCCAAAGATCTCAGTTCCTTTCGATATTTGCGCATATTGGACAGTAACTTCCAGAATTATGGCCCCTGATTGTACGAAAAATCACGTTTTTAGCTTGTGGACCCTATAGAAGTCAAAATTTTTATCCGATTTAAAAAACCGTTCTATTATATCACCATTACACCCAAAGGATGACTGAGTTCGAATTTCGTGAAAATTGGCCCAAAATTGACAGACAAAATGGCCGCCGTTCGTTCCCAAATAGCGTAAGAATATGGTATATCAAGGTTGTGGACCCTATAGGGGTCACAATTTTTATCCGATTTTGTTGAAACTTGAAATGTAAGTTTATAACCCAAAGATCTCGGTTCCTTTCGATATTCGTGCATATCACCGTTACACCCTAGGGACGACTGAATTCGAATTTCGTGAAAATCGGCCCAAAATTGACAGACAAAATGGCCGTCGTTCGTTTTCAAATAGCGTAAGAAAATGGTATATCAAGGTTGTGGACCCTATAGAGGTCACAATTTTTATCCGATTTTGTTGAAACTTGAAATGTAAGTCTATAACCCAAAGATCTCGATTCCTTTCGATATTCGCGCATATCGGACCGTAATTTCCTGAATTATGGCCCCTGATTGTACGAAAATCGCGTTTTTAGCTTGTGGACCCTATAGAGGTCATAATTTTTATCCGATTTAAAAAACCGTATTATTATATCACCGTTACACCCTAAGGACGACTGAGTTTGAATTTCGTGAAAATCGGCCCAAAATTGACAGACAAAATGGCCGCTGTTCGTTCTGGAATAGCATAAGAATATGTTACATCAAGGTTGTGGACCCTATAGAGGTCACAATTTTTATCCGATTTTGTTGAAACTTGAAATGTAAGTTTATAACCCAAAGATCTTGGTTCCTTTCGATATTCGCACATATCGGACCGTAATTTCCTGAATTATGGCCCCTGATTGTACGAAAAATTGCGTTTTTAGCTTGTGGATCCTATAGAGGTCATAATTTTTATCCAATTTAAAAAAACGTATTATTATATCACCGTTACACCCTGAGGACGACTGAGTTCGAATTTTGTGAAAATCGGCTCAAAATTGACAGACAAAATGGCTGCCGTTCATTCAGTTCCTTTCGATATATGCGCATATCAAATTGTAATTTCCTGAATTATGGCCCTTGATTGTAGGAAAAATCACTTTCTTGTTAGCTTGTTCTCTATCCATCTCTCGAAATTTTGGGCGTATCCTGCCTGGCAGCCGCTGGTTGAACTATAGAGCAAGAACAGCGAGCTCTTTATCTAAATCTTACATAATGCATCTTTAAGTTTTTGTTATGCCATCAATGTGGGTAGGCCAGCTACATAGCCAGAAACTTTCTATTTATTGTCTATATTGTAATATTTCTTGGTACAAACATAGGAAGGTGCAGTAAGAGAGGTATTAGAAGAAACAGGTTTAACAGCAGAACCAGTAACAGCATTAGAAATAGAATCTGGTGGAGTAACTTGGTTTAGAATACTATTTATCATGAAACAAACAGGTAGATTTTTCTCGTCAGTGAAACAATATCTTTCCAGGTATATTTTTAAACCTATCCGGTAAATACTAAAGGGCTTATATGTTATCCCCCTGTTTATGTGTCCTTTTCCGTCCAGTGAGTTCTGATAATTACTTAAAGATACATTATGGAAGATTAGATAAAGATATAGGAAAGTTTCCACTATATTAGTTAAAAACTAGGTAACGTAAAGGAAATATGCTGAGAATTTAAGTCAAATTGCTTCTCTCTTAGCCAAAAGAATCTTAGTTTAAAACCACTGTAGCCTTGATTGTTATTGTTATTGTTACCGCTGTCACGATAAACATTTTTGCAGTTAATCATCAATGGGCTTTGAACAGCAGATCGGATTCAAATCCAATGAAAATCGTCGCATAAGATGGCATCAAAAGTTGATTATGGTCTTCTCATCTTAATAAATATCTAATTAATAGTAATAGTTCATATAACATTTCAGGCCTAAAGAAAGACCTGCAATAGGCAGATTTACCTCTTGCATAATGTATGTTTAATGGGTTGTTACTCTTAATAAATTTTGTAGTGCCTTATAAATGCTTTCATTACCAACAAGAAAAAAACAATGTGACAGCCATTGTGTACTGCTTGGAAAACTTAGCTGTTGTGGGTGTATGTTTCTTTGTTTGGCAACCTATATTTACATTTTCTATTCTTTCTTCTGAACCACAAGAGAGATTACTTATGTTTCTTTGATGGTGCTTACTTTGATTTTGTCAATTGATGTTAATTGGCACTATATATTGGTTAGGAGGGGTACAAAATTTTCGACCTCTTTTCCTAAACTGTTAGGTGGTGTTTATTCAGATTTGTTAAATCAAGTTGATTCACCCCATAGTGCAAATTTGGATATTTATGAAGACTAATTCACCTATTCGGATTTGTTGACATTTTCCAGCATGTAGATATGTATAAAATTAAGTTGCTAGGAGAAATTGTTAGCCTAATGCAACCCTCTTTTTGTAAATACGAACATACTAAAAATCAACATTGTCTCCTGAATCTGCTTATTCAAATCTGATCAGATTGACAGATCTATTGTTAATTTGTTAGATATCTGTTAAGCATTACACTTTGGCTTGGGGGGTTGGATGGCCGAATGGTCAGCGCGTGCAAGCTGTATCATAGGTCTGTCATTGAGTCAACTGACGTGGTTTCGATTCCCCGGCTGTATGTAACAAGGAGTAGTCACCTGTACTCCAGATCAGAGGTTTTTCTCTGGTTTCCTCCCACTTCTAAAGACCTCTACGCGCAAGTGAATTATTGAAATAAAATTAAACCATATGTTAGTCATTATTGTCCCTCGCCATTCGAAAAAAGCAGGGGACTTTTAAAATGGGTTCATTCATTTGTCTGTCTGTCCGTCCGTCTGTCTGTCTGTCTGTTCGAAGAAAGCAGGGGGCTATTAAAATGGGTTCGTCCGTCTGTCTGTCCGTCCGTCTGTAGGTGTTTATTAGGTCAATGCCTTGATGGAGTTCGAAGATGAGCATTTTCTGCTTAGGGTAAGCAGAGATAGCAATTTGATTGGTTGATGCTTTGGAATATGATAACTTTAGTTCTAATTATGTGAGAGTGATGAAACTTGGTGTATAGTTTCATTACATCTATCCCTTGACTAAGTTCGATAATGAGCATTTTCTGCTCAGGGTAAGCAGAGCGATAAGCAATTTGATTGGTCAAGACTTTGGAACATAACAACTCTGCTTTTAATTGAGGTAGAATGTTTAAACTTGATGTAGAGCTAAGCGATTTCATTGGTTGATGCTTTGGTGCAAGATAAATTTGATTCTATCTGATAGAGAGTGATGAAACTTACTGTATAGGTTATAATCTGTTTGATTGCTTGATAATTTTGAAACAAATAAATGTGCGATTAATGAATATGTGTCAGCTATTTATTTTGGGATTCTGGTGGGGGACATCAGCCTCACTGTTGGCTTGTTTCTTCTTCAGGTGGTGTATTGAAGACAAAGCCAGATGAAGAATCTTTAAAAGCAGATTGGTTTAACCCTGGAAAAGTTTTAAATAAAGAAATAACATTACGGTAATTATCTCCCCATTTACATTCAGATCTTAAATAAGTCTTATTAAAACTAGATGCCCTCTTCATTCTATGAATTCAATATTGGTCATCATTCACAAACATCTAAAGGCACATGTTCTGAGCCGGTCACCACAGCTTAAATTGACCTTTGACCTTGATCATGTGTCCTACAAAGAAATGTTTTAAGATGAAGTGGAATAAACAGAAATGAAATGAAATGAAATATGGTTTAACGCCCTTCTGTTCTGATCCAACTGGGCTAATGGAGACGGGTGGAATAAACAACAGGAAAATAAATCAAAACATTTTTATTCATTGAAAGGATGGTATATCTTACGAATAATACAGAAAGGAATAGAATATCAAAAATTACCTCAATTTTATTTTTTAGAAAGGATGATATACTACGAATTATACAGAAAGGAATAGAATATCAAAAATTACCCAAATTAGAACAGCCTAATATATTACCAGTTGTACATCCACACATACAGATTTTACATCGTGTTATATTACATACGTTAACACCAGAAGGGTTAGTATTTATCGTATCTTAATACTTTAATTTCACAATGCACCAAAGCTCATATAAACATTTCTTTATTTAAATTTAACAAAGACAAAAATTTAATTTAAAAATTTCAATTTGGAATGTGTTTTGAGGACTTATCTTTTCAGTCCACATTTGTCCTATTAAAATTTGTAAGCATGATATACAAGAAGATATATTTGAAGGCATAAGGGGAGGGACCCAGTAAAAATTGGAAATATTTCAATTGTAAATTTAACAGCTAGTGTATCTTTTGTTGGGAAGACATAGCACATTTTAAAGCAATTCTTTAAATTTTAAACTATCTATTTTCAGTGACCATGCTATTTTGGTTAATACAAATAAAAATGTGCATTTACCGTGTTGTGTGATGGGGCCTGAAGATATTTCTTTAATGGTTTCTATTTTTCTATTATTTAAGGTAGTATATACATATTATATCATATAAAAATATATCAATATATTATATCAAATAAAAATGTGCATTTACCGTGTTGCGTGATGGGGCCTGAAGATATTTCTTTAATGGTTTCTATTTTTCTATTATTTAAGGTAGTATATACATATTATATCATATAAAAATATATCAATATATTATATCAAATAAAAATGTGCATTTACCGTGTTGCGTGATGGGGCCTGAAGATATTTCTTTAATGGTTTCTATTGTTCTATTATTTAAGGTAGTATATACATTAAATCCTTCATTTATTTCACACTATGTTTCAACAAGTTCCTCTTGTCGTTTATGGTTCAATTCTTGAAGGGTGGTTATCAAGTGTTTTAGAATGGATTTCTCTTGTTTAAATGAAGAAATAACCCAATTAATTTCTTTTAAATCAAAATGTTATTTCTTTCGGGTATATGATTTGATAATTTGGCAAGTATATAGACAGTGTTATCCAGCCACCACTACTAAGTATATGGTGGAAGATATGGAAACAAGTTTTTAACAGTATCCCACCAAGCTTCAGTTAGTTGCACAGGACAAGGATAAAGGTTTCTGATTTCTCTCTTAATTGAATTTATGATTTTTATTGTAGGATGTGTTTGGTAGATTGAAACATCCACCAGAAATATGTGGTATTGTATCTGTTGAGCATTGTGGTCAACCTGAAGCTAAAAATGATGGGATGTGCTTAACATCTCTAGTTCATACTAAAAATGTTCTAAAATTTGACGGTGTTAATAAAAAGAATTATGATTGGCATGTGGTTACTGATACAGATCTTATTTCAAAATTAAATCTCATGTTGGCTGGAAAAAAAATTCTTCCTTTCTTTGATGTTAATAGTAAGACCAGATGAAATGATTTGATTCCTTTGATAGCTGTTTTATCTTGGATATATATTCTGAATAATTAAATATTATTGTATATGATGGATTATAGTATTATGTTCTGTTGAGTATCAATCTGATTAAAACACAGATCCTATTTCGTTTCGTTTTTTATAGTTAAAAATTTCGTTTTACTTGTCTTTACTACACTAGGATTTGGAAGAGTTGTTACATAACCCGCGTTCTGGATAATGTCAGGGATTAGCCAATGAAACAGTCTGTTACAGCGAGTTTTTGGCGTGAGGTGCACAGAACTGTGGGTAACCCACTAGAAACATCAACGTTGATTGGTTAATCAAATGTCTGACATCATAGGGTCAAAAGCGGCTTGTATGACCTCTGACGCAACCTTCCACTACAACCGGTCAGATCTTCATGTAGTAGATGCCATCGAAAGTATAAAAAATGGAATGAAATATAGATCTGTATTTTAATCAGATTGATCTGTTCATAATTATTAATTGCTTAGCAATGTGCAATTTGTGTAGCAAACTATTATCATGTGACATCACTTTTTAACCCAATTAACAATTAGTAATTTAATCAGATTGGTTGTATATAATGATATCTCTAACATTTTTAATATTGTAATATATTTCTTTATTAAGAACTTGTCAGACTGATGTAATTGCATTTAATGTAATAAATGAGGTGCAGCTTAACACTTTCATGACTATTACACCTATAGTTTAAAAATTAAATTTGGAAAATATTTTTTGGATTGGTAATATTTCACCAGACAAGTATAAATTTGTAGGGATATTTGAAGGAGCTAAATCGCTAATATTTGGGATATGGAAATTGACACAAGTGGGTCGCAACTCATATAATACCGTAATATGAATGTATATAAACTGATTTACATTCAATCGTTTCCGTTTTTACTCTAATTTCAAATCAGTTATGTTCCGTGAAATAAGCCAGCAGTCTCAATCGAGTGCAAATTCCTAGAGTCTGGTTATTCCAGTCTACATAAGCCGTTTGGTTTGGTGCAATATGTCTAGCCTCGTTCCTCTAGCCTCTTGCTAGAACTGGGGCTGAAACGCATTATCGTGTACCAATGGTAAAATATTTATTTTGTGTTAAATATTGGATATCAGAAGCCTACCCTTTTCCGGTAAGATCACAGCATCAATGTTGTTTTAAATTGACAAATAATTCGTGTTTTAAATGTTGAAGATTTTGGATGATATTGAGTTAGAGACTTAGCTCCTTTAACCATGCTATCTTACTAAAATATTAGAAACTGGTACTTCACAAATGCTATATAATATTTGACTGGTCAGTTGATTAAAATGGGGTCACGGTAGCTTGGTGAGTGTATAGCTACATGCATCTCACTAACCAGAAAGTCAACAATTTCCCTCAGGATTTTTGTCAGGGGACTATTAAAATAGCTCTCTGTTTGTCAAACTTTCTGGGACACAATAATTCTCCTTCTAATTGAGCTAGAATGTTTAAATCTGGTGTAGGTGCTTATTAGGTGAATTTGATTTGTTGATGCTTTGGGACACAATAACTTTTGAAAGTGATGAAACTTGGTGTATAGTTTCATTATATCAATACCTTGACTAACTTTGATAATGAGCAGAGCAATAACCAATCTGTTTCTAATTGAGTGAGAGCAGTGACATTTTGTGTGTACCAGTAGTTATAAGCAGAGCTAAGCAATTTCATTGGTCGATGCTTTGGGACAAAATAAATTTGATTCTAACTGTTAGAGGGAAATGAAACTTTGTGTATAGTTTCACTACCTGGTACTTCAAAACCTTGACTGAGTTCCATCATGAACATTTTTTGCTTAGACTAAGAATAGATAATTAATTTGATTGCTCAATACTTTTCAAAAAGATAAGTGTGCAATAAATTAGTATGTGTCGTCTATTTATTTTGGAATTGCGGTGGTTGACATCAGCCTCACTGTTGGCTTGTTAAAACTCTGATAATCTCAATCTTTATATCCTTAAAGATCCTAATGTTTCACAATCCTCTGATAAAATAAGAGTAGGCCATAGTGCCACTATCGAAAATAAATTTCCTTCATATCACATTGCATTAGCCTGGTTGGTGCAGAAAAGTAAGATATTTAATCCCATTGATTAAGACAGTTTGCTAGACAATGAAACCTGGGAGGGTTGGGAGTGTCGAATGGTTTAGTGTGTGTACCTTAGATCATACTGTCCATGGGCGTCACACATGGGGGGGGGGGGTCTGACCACCCCAATTTTTTTTCTGGGGGGGGGGGGTCTGAATATACTTGGACCACCCAAAAAATTTACATAGTAGACCCTAACTCCTATTTATTTACAACATTTATTAGGGTTAGTTAAGATTATATCTGTATAAAACCTGTACATATCCTAATATGGTTTACATTGCTAAAATAAAACACAGAGACAATCATCCTTGAAACATGTGTGAAGTGAAAAGTAACTGTGTTCCATAAATTTGTGTCTAGTTAATTTTTTTCTGCCACTTATCAGAGTGAATCGCATGTAGGTACCCAAAAACATTATTGCCTAAACCAAATATTTATCGCCCGCTCAGCCAGCCACGTAACCATCATACTTTGCATGCGGTGGGCCAATCAGCAAACGAGTTGTGTAGACAGCATGGCCACATGGTGTTTGTTTATATTTTTTAGGAGTTTTAAAATAGGGTTAGAGCTTAGGGTTGCGGACCCCCCTCCCCCCAATATATATTTCACGGCTACGCCTCTGATACTGTCTGTCATTGAGTCAAGTGGTGTTGTTTCGATTACCCCGCTTGTACGTGACAAGGAGTATTGTCGCCTGTCCAACCTTGTGGGTTTTCTACAAGTCCTCCAGTTTTGGTTTCCTCCCATACGCACAAGCGTTTCGATTCCCCGGCTGTATGTAACAAGGAGTAGTCACCTGTACTCCAGATCAGAGGTTTTTCTCTGGTTTCCTCCCACTTCTAAAGACCTCTACGCGCAAGTGAATTATTGAAATAAAATTAAACCATATGTTAGTCATTATTGTCCCTCGCCATTCGAAAAAAGCAGGGGACTTTTAAAATGGGTTCATTCATTTGTCTGTCTGTCCGTCCGTCTGTCTGTCTGTCTGTTCGAAGAAAGCAGGGGGCTATTAAAATGGGTTCGTCCGTCTGTCTGTCCGTGTTTATTAGGTCAATGCCTTGATGGAGTTCGAAGATGAGCATTTTCTGCTTAGGGTAAGCAGAGATAGCAATTTGATTGGTTGATGCTTTGGAATATGATAACTTTAGTTCTAATTATGTGAGAGTGATGAAACTTGGTGTATAGTTTCATTACATCTATCCCTTGACTAAGTTCGATAATGAGCATTTTCTGCTCAGGGTAAGCAGAGCGATAAGCAATTTGATTGGTCAAGACTTTGGAACATAACAACTCTGCTTTTAATTGAGGTAGAATGTTTAAACTTGATGTAGAGCTAAGCGATTTCATTGGTTGATGCTTTGGTGCAAGATAAATTTGATTCTATCTGATAGAGAGTGATGAAACTTACTGTATAGGTTATAATCTGTTTGATTGCTTGATAATTTTGAAACAAATAAATGTGCGATTAATGAATATGTGTCAGCTATTTATTTTGGGATTCTGGTGGGGGACATCAGCCTCACTGTTGGCTTGTTTCTTCTTCAGGTGGTGTATTGAAGACAAAGCCAGATGAAGAATCTTTAAAAGCAGATTGGTTTAACCCTGGAAAAGTTTTAAATAAAGAAATAACATTACGGTAATTATCTCCCCATTTACATTCAGATCTTAAATAAGTCTTATTAAAACTAGATGCCCTCTTCATTCTATGAATTCAATATTGGTCATCATTCACAAACATCTAAAGGCACATGTTCTGAGCCGGTCACCACAGCTTAAATTGACCTTTGACCTTGATCATGTGTCCTACAAAGAAATGTTTTAAGATGAAGTGGAATAAACAGAAATGAAATGAAATGAAATATGGTTTAACGCCCTTCTGTTCTGATCCAACTGGGCTAATGGAGACGGGTGGAATAAACAACAGGAAAATAAATCAAAACATTTTTATTCATTGAAAGGATGGTATATCTTACGAATAATACAGAAAGGAATAGAATATCAAAAATTACCTCAATTTTATTTTTTAGAAAGGATGATATACTACGAATTATACAGAAAGGAATAGAATATCAAAAATTACCCAAATTAGAACAGCCTAATATATTACCAGTTGTACATCCACACATACAGATTTTACATCGTGTTATATTACATACGTTAACACCAGAAGGGTTAGTATTTATCGTATCTTAATACTTTAATTTCACAATGCACCAAAGCTCATATAAACATTTCTTTATTTAAATTTAACAAAGACAAAAATTTAATTTAAAAATTTCAATTTGGAATGTGTTTTGAGGACTTATCTTTTCAGTCCACATTTGTCCTATTAAAATTTGTAAGCATGATATACAAGAAGATATATTTGAAGGCATAAGGGGAGGGACCCAGTAAAAATTGGAAATATTTCAATTGTAAATTTAACAGCTAGTGTATCTTTTGTTGGGAAGACATAGCACATTTTAAAGCAATTCTTTAAATTTTAAACTATCTATTTTCAGTGACCATGCTATTTTGGTTAATACAAATAAAAATGTGCATTTACCGTGTTGTGTGATGGGGCCTGAAGATATTTCTTTAATGGTTTCTATTTTTCTATTATTTAAGGTAGTATATACATATTATATCATATAAAAATATATCAATATATTATATCAAATAAAAATGTGCATTTACCGTGTTGCGTGATGGGGCCTGAAGATATTTCTTTAATGGTTTCTATTGTTCTATTATTTAAGGTAGTATATACATTAAATCCTTCATTTATTTCACACTATGTTTCAACAAGTTCCTCTTGTCGTTTATGGTTCAATTCTTGAAGGGTGGTTATCAAGTGTTTTAGAATGGATTTCTCTTGTTTAAATGAAGAAATAACCCAATTAATTTCTTTTAAATCAAAATGTTATTTCTTTCGGGTATATGATTTGATAATTTGGCAAGTATATAGACAGTGTTATCCAGCCACCACTACTAAGTATATGGTGGAAGATATGGAAACAAGTTTTTAACAGTATCCCACCAAGCTTCAGTTAGTTGCACAGGACAAGGATAAAGGTTTCTGATTTCTCTCTTAATTGAATTTATGATTTTTATTGTAGGATGTGTTTGGTAGATTGAAACATCCACCAGAAATATGTGGTATTGTATCTGTTGAGCATTGTGGTCAACCTGAAGCTAAAAATGATGGGATGTGCTTAACATCTCTAGTTCATACTAAAAATGTTCTAAAATTTGACGGTGTTAATAAAAAGAATTATGATTGGCATGTGGTTACTGATACAGATCTTATTTCAAAATTAAATCTCATGTTGGCTGGAAAAAAAATTCTTCCTTTCTTTGATGTTAATAGTAAGACCAGATGAAATGATTTGATTCCTTTGATAGCTGTTTTATCTTGGATATATATTCTGAATAATTAAATATTATTGTATATGATGGATTATAGTATTATGTTCTGTTGAGTATCAATCTGATTAAAACACAGATCCTATTTCGTTTCGTTTTTTATAGTTAAAAATTTCGTTTTACTTGTCTTTACTACACTAGGATTTGGAAGAGTTGTTACATAACCCGCGTTCTGGATAATGTCAGGGATTAGCCAATGAAACAGTCTGTTACAGCGAGTTTTTGGCGTGAGGTGCACAGATCTGTGGGTAACCCACTAGAAACATCAACGTTGATTGGTTAATCAAATGTCTGACATCATAGGGTCAAAAGCGGCTTGTATGACCTCTGACGCAACCTTCCACTACAACCGGTCAGATCTTCATGTAGTAGATGCCATCGAAAGTATAAAAAATGGAATGAAATATAGATCTGTATTTTAATCAGATTGATCTGTTCATAATTATTAATTGCTTAGCAATGTGCAATTTGTGTAGCAAACTATTATCATGTGACATCACTTTTTAACCCAATTAACAATTAGTAATTTAATCAGATTGGTTGTATATAATGATATCTCTAACATTTTTAATATTGTAATATATTTCTTTATTAAGAACTTGTCAGACTGATGTAATTGCATTTAATGTAATAAATGAGGTGCAGCTTAACACTTTCATGACTATTACACCTATAGTTTAAAAATTAAATTTGGAAAATATTTTTTGGATTGGTAATATTTCACCAGACAAGTATAAATTTGTAGGGATATTTGAAGGAGCTAAATCGCTAATATTTGGGATATGGAAATTGACACAAGTGGGTCGCAACTCATATAATACCGTAATATGAATGTATATAAACTGATTTACATTCAATCGTTTCCGTTTTTACTCTAATTTCAAATCAGTTATGTTCCGTGAAATAAGCCAGCAGTCTCAATCGAGTGCAAATTCCTAGAGTCTGGTTATTCCAGTCTACATAAGCCGTTTGGTTTGGTGCAATATGTCTAGCCTCGTTCCTCTAGCCTCTTGCTAGAACTGGGGCTGAAACGCATTATCGTGTACCAATGGTAAAATATTTATTTTGTGTTAAATATTGGATATCAGAAGCCTACCCTTTTCCGGTAAGATCACAGCATCAATGTTGTTTTAAATTGACAAATAATTCGTGTTTTAAATGTTGAAGATTTTGGATGATATTGAGTTAGAGACTTAGCTCCTTTAACCATGCTATCTTACTAAAATATTAGAAACTGGTACTTCACAAATGCTATATAATATTTGACTGGTCAGTTGATTAAAATGGGGTCACGGTAGCTTGGTGAGTGTATAGCTACATGCATCTCACTAACCAGAAAGTCAACAATTTCCCTCAGGATTTTTGTCAGGGGACTATTAAAATAGCTCTCTGTTTGTCAAACTTTCTGGGACACAATAATTCTCCTTCTAATTGAGCTAGAATGTTTAAATCTGGTGTAGGTGCTTATTAGGTGAATTTGATTTGTTGATGCTTTGGGACACAATAACTTTTGAAAGTGATGAAACTTGGTGTATAGTTTCATTATATCAATACCTTGACTAACTTTGATAATGAGCAGAGCAATAACCAATCTGTTTCTAATTGAGTGAGAGCAGTGACATTTTGTGTGTACCAGTAGTTATAAGCAGAGCTAAGCAATTTCATTGGTCGATGCTTTGGGACAAAATAAATTTGATTCTAACTGTTAGAGGGAAATGAAACTTTGTGTATAGTTTCACTACCTGGTACTTCAAAACCTTGACTGAGTTCCATCATGAACATTTTTTGCTTAGACTAAGAATAGATAATTAATTTGATTGCTCAATACTTTTCAAAAAGATAAGTGTGCAATAAATTAGTATGTGTCGTCTATTTATTTTGGAATTGCGGTGGTTGACATCAGCCTCACTGTTGGCTTGTTAAAACTCTGATAATCTCAATCTTTATATCCTTAAAGATCCTAATGTTTCACAATCCTCTGATAAAATAAGAGTAGGCCATAGTGCCACTATCGAAAATAAATTTCCTTCATATCACATTGCATTAGCCTGGTTGGTGCAGAAAAGTAAGATATTTAATCCCATTGATTAAGACAGTTTGCTAGACAATGAAACCTGGGAGGGTTGGGAGTGTCGAATGGTTTAGTGTGTGTACCTTAGATCATACTGTCCATGGGCGTCACACATGGGGGGGGGGGGTCTGACCACCCCAATTTTTTTTCTGGGGGGGGGGGGTCTGAATATACTTGGACCACCCAAAAAATTTACATAGTAGACCCTAACTCCTATTTATTTACAACATTTATTAGGGTTAGTTAAGATTATATCTGTATAAAACCTGTACATATCCTAATATGGTTTACATTGCTAAAATAAAACACAGAGACAATCATCCTTGAAACATGTGTGAAGTGAAAAGTAACTGTGTTCCATAAATTTGTGTCTAGTTAATTTTTTTCTGCCACTTATCAGAGTGAATCGCATGTAGGTACCCAAAAACATTATTGCCTAAACCAAATATTTATCGCCCGCTCAGCCAGCCACGTAACCATCATACTTTGCATGCGGTGGGCCAATCAGCAAACGAGTTGTGTAGACAGCATGGCCACATGGTGTTTGTTTATATTTTTTAGGAGTTTTAAAATAGGGTTAGAGCTTAGGGTTGCGGACCCCCCTCCCCCCAATATATATTTCACGGCTACGCCTCTGATACTGTCTGTCATTGAGTCAAGTGGTGTTGTTTCGATTACCCCGCTTGTACGTGACAAGGAGTATTGTCGCCTGTCCAACCTTGTGGGTTTTCTACAAGTCCTCCAGTTTTGGTTTCCTCCCATACGCACAAGCAGATTATTGAAATAAAATTGAACCATATGACCTAGTTTGTGTCGAGCATTTAAACCTTTCATTCTAATTCATTGACCTCTAATTTACAAAAATAAAATGTTTTAATTTTACAAATAAATACAGGAATTATCAGGAAGTGCTTTAAAGCTGGGCAGTAAGTTTGGTACAAATCTGAACCATGCATTATGGTTAAATGACAATTTCTACATGCATTGACATAGAAAGAAACATACACATTCCATACTTTATCATCTTATTGTTATTTTATTATACAGTAATATAAAATGTTCTTTCTGTTCATGCACAAATCATTAAAATCAAATCATCTTTTCTACATTTAAACAGGGTACTAGTTTACAAAAATAAAGGACCAATAAATAGGTTATGAGGAGTGAACATCAATAGGCACGGGAGGTAATTTATAACCATTATACCAGTACATGAATATATGTAAAAAATAAACTATGTTACCAGTTGTAATTTATATTTTAAGAGATGTTAAATCAAACATAACAAATATGTACAGGGTCTTTGTGAACATTGAGATATAATTAAAGAGAAAGCACCATGAATAACACAAGAACTATTGTAGATATACTTATTTTATCAAATTGCATCTATTTACACATCAAGATCATCACATATTTTTTTACAGAATACGTTTTAAACCCAACATTTTGTTGCTAATAAAAATAGAAGTCGGCTTACGTTTAATTATATTCTCCGATTCATGTCCAGCCAAGATATAAATAACATTGTTTTAGAAGTAACCATAATTTATTCTTCAATTTTACACAGATTCACAATCTTTTTTATTATTCATATTACTAAAACTTTACAGAAATAAATGTATCTCCTTCTATACAGTTAATCACATTCAATCTTTATAATGTATATAAGTCATAAAAAACATTGCAATATACTACATAAATAATAGGTTAATCCTTTATTTTACCTCCATTAAACAGGCATTATGTAAGAGCTTACTTTGCCTATGCCAGGTTTTTCTTTAGGCCTTAAATTATTGATTAGACATTTATCAACATAACAAGACCATAATCAATTCTTGACATGCCATCGGATACTCAAGATTTTAACTAGATTAGAACGGTTCGGCCATTAAATGATTTAATTTTAAAAAGGGAAAGCAAGGCTAAGACTCAAGTATACCAGTACCGTGGTTATGATAATAAACAATCAATGCACACATCTTGTCAAAACTACCAACCGTGATAACTTGAATAAAATTTGAACAAAATTTTTAATATATCCATTTTGCATTACCTATTTTTGAACTATTCTAGCAAGGAACAGCCAGCTCTTTATTTAAATCTTACATAATGTATCTTTAATCTTAATATAAATACACTCCTTTAATATAGATTTCCAATCTGTTTCACAGAGAATTACGAGTCTCGTATAATATCTCTGTCATAGATGACTGCCTTAACACGTGCTGTCACAGCCCGCAGTGTGAATCATTGGCTGAATGGCGCGTGCATTGTTTACATAAGACATAACTGCTTCGGAGAGAATGCTGCATTTTAGTCAATTTAATACCCATTTACACTAAATCGGAAATAATTTTTACCTACAAAAACGTCAAACGCCTTTATTTATTTTTCCAATATATACAAAAAATGTTTTAGAATTTAATTTGTCGCAGGAAAAAAGTTAATATTTCTAGCTCATTAAGCCGCATAAATGTCATCCTTATCAGTGATTGTCGCGGCCAAGCAAATATTCACTGCGGATCAGTGTGATAGATTTCATGTAAAATTGTGTGCCCATATCCCCCCGCTCCCCTTCCGAAATCCTGCATCCACTCTGCATATAATGTACCAAAAACAATTTAATACACTTAATGAGGTGACTATAAATTATTCTTTTAGGAAATCCTGCATACATTTCTACATACAATAAAGGATTGATACATTTAATAAATTGACGAATCAAAATTTATTGCCTGATGAAATGTACTGTGCAGACAATAAAACATAAGAGAGGTTTAATTAAATAAATGAACACATAAGATTTAAACATAAATAGCTATAGTACATGGAACAGCAGCAAATTTGATTTAAATTGGGACAATTAAAGATTAATTTAAAGGCTTGTTTGTACTAATCTCCCAGCCATACAGTAGTTCATACTTGTCATTTTCCGAGGATAACATATTTAACACAAAATACAGTCAATGGCAAGAATAAACAAGGGTGTAATAACTTTACATCAAATTCTTTACACCCCATATGTATTCAAAGGGATCATTAATTGATTTACTTTGGTAGATTGTGAAAGTAACATTACTAAAAGCCAGTAACATTATTAAAAGCGAAACGCTATGTATTCAAACGCATCATTAATTGATTTACTTTGGTACATTGTGAAAGTAACATTATTAAAAGCCAGTAACATTATTAAAAGTCAAACATTCTTTGTAAGATCACACACAAAGAATGTTCGAATCAAATAGTCATAAAATCATTTGTTCCCAGCGGATTACTGACAGAAATACAAATGTTTTAGCATGGGGGTCAGGCAAAATGAATAAATTTGAATAGGCCTATTTTAACCTATTCTCCATATAATAAATAATAAAGGTAATTTAATAACAAAATATAATATTAAATATCAAATATAATCTGTTATTACCAGGTAATGGCATAATGTTCCAAATTCCTGTGAATAATTTCAGGTAACCGTATATTTACAATTTTTTAATAATTGTTTAGACTAGGTATTCAAAATAATATAATTTCCATGCAAGAATAAATGAATTTTATAGAATGATACATAAATATCTGGCAAACTTAACTCAATAAAACTATGTGTTAGACAAAACAGGGACTACATAAAGCTGTACCCTATACAACAAAATGTGACAAGGGGAAATAAATAAATCCTAAATGATGTTTTGTAATACTATCAATAGTTATTTCTATAATATAACTTCTACTTTCAAGGATAAAGCAAGCAGATAAAAGCCACTCAAAATGGAAACCATACATACAAAATAACTTGACACCGGTTATTGATTTCGCATAGATTTTTTTCTACAGTTCATGTATTTGATTATTTAATAAAATGTTGTTATGTATTCAATAATACATATTATTTATTCAATAATACAGATTATTTATATACTTTATATACATGTATATTATTTATACCAATTCAATAACATGTTAATTCTATCATAAATCCTGTGATTTTTTTTATTCATTTTAAGCAAGGATATTAATGGGCTGATTATAGCTGGCTGCAGCCATTAGACAATTGAAAACCTGACTGATAAAGCAATGAACCAGCCACTATATGCCATTATAAAATCAATCTAGTTTTGGCTCATTTACAATGAATTAATTGTTACTTATAAGCATAATCCATAACATTTATACCTAGATAATCTTTAGTACATTTTACGATCAACATACTTTGTACATTTAACCGTCACAATAATAATTCTGTAAATATACAAACTTGCTAATTATTCATATCTTCAGTTATTAGCCAAATGGTTTTCCAAATCAGTTTCCGATATCATCGAAATGCAAATGACGCCAATAGCTATCGCCAACACCCATTATATAATAACAATTCCTAGTCATGAAATAAACATACACAGCATAAAAAATATATGTGCATCTATACTCCATTATTAGCAATAATAGCAGTCAGCAGGTAACTCAATATATTTAACAATGATATCTTAGGAAAAAAAAAACACATTTCCTGAAAACTACGACCAATTTGGCATCTGGTGTGACCAAGGATATGCCATGCTTTAACCAATCAACTTTTAACAAACAAGATTTATATTGTCATATAACTTAAGGCATTATTAATACAGAATTGTGATTTTTGGCAAAGAAAACTGAAGGAACGGCAGGTACTCAATTTCTGTGTCTGAATAACAAATAACAAGGTCAAATACTGTAACCGGTATTTATGGACTATTTCCATCATGGACATTAAGTTTAAGCTTTAAAGCTCAATGAATTCTAATTACAGAGACAGTGTTAAGTGGTTTGTAAAAGTAATGTTAAATATACCATGTCTTTATAATCTGCTATCTCTTTTTTAATTTCGAGTGACGTTTTGACATAATTAATCTCCATAATCTACATAACACACCCCCTCTGAAAAATAGACAATTATTTCTTAATCAAAATTTCAGTTTAAAGTGAATTTAGTGAATATATAATAACACATTCTACCAATCCCAGAGGATTAATTTGCCAGTCATTGAATTAAATCTTAAAGCGTCATTCTGTATGTATCTTTAGTAGTTTAGATACACAACACAAGGTAATTCATTTTTGGTTGGTTTACGTTTCCAAACAGAACTTCCATGACCCTTTAGTAATTTCCCTGCAGATGAGTATGAGGCACATACTAATTAAGATGTAATTTAATAATATTAAATTTATGAAGATAAACAAAATATTATATAACTACTTGTATAAGAAATTTACTAAAAACTTAACCAAAATATGTTAAACTAACCTTAGTTGTAAACGCTGTAAATCTACCAATGTAACTAACTCTAATATATCAGATAGAGTATATTCTTCTTCACATATTCTACAGATAGTTTCTGAATTAAAGTTATTCTGTTTCAACCAATTAACTAACTCAGTATCAGCATTGATCTGAATATTTGGCACATCTCTCTTCACAGCTGAAATAATACATTTTCTATAAATAAAAACTTCTATACGTCTGACAAACTTCTTTAATTTACAATCAGTTATGAACCGGATTGAGGCCTAGATTATGTTAGTATCGCAAATATCACAAGAGTTCAGAATATAGCTACCATACTCACGAGTCACATAATTAGCTATGGCTCCATTCAAGAAGTATTACACAGAGCTATTCACATACATGTAACTCAGGCAGTTTGTTCTTTGTGACCCCGGAGGCCAAAAGGTCAACTGTCTGGAGTCCTACCATGAAACTATTCAATTGTTTTTCGGACAACTAGTTTCATTATGTATAACAATCGTTGTTAAACTAAATCGGGGAGACTTCGATTTGACAGTTTTTACATATTTTTGAAACAGGTTTCAAAGTGTTTTGGTTCTGTTATGCACGATCTTTTTTGACGTTCAAAAATAAATGTACGGTGCTATATAAGACCACCTAAAGATAAGTTTTAAATGTTCCTTTTATTAATTAGAACAGACTTCGCTTTAGTTTTTATATTTTACGCTGACATTTTATTGCTTTAAATCTTCCTAGTGCAAAAACGGAAAATTTGACCTTTTGGCATCCAGGGTCAAAAAGAACAAAGGTGAATTTAGCAAGTTAACATTTTTATTGAAAGGTTGATTACTTTTGATCATTTTCAGCATGTTTTCGTGATTCAAGAATGGCTGCGCATTCACTTTCAGTGCAAATGACTTCATTTGACCTTTGACCCTAAATATCTCGAAAACGCCCCAGCGGCGGACTGATTACCACTAGGCATCATATTCTAAGCAAAATTTTACTCTAGAAAAGTTGGGTCTGGTTTTGTGCCAATTTGATGTACACCCCTCCACACTGATCTCCAGACTAGATATTTCTTCCTGCATACCATACATTTAATATGCCATACCATCAAAATAAAGAGCACTTTATTTGATGTATATAAACTCTTACCTGATCTGGACATAGTAGCATTACTAGATGCTGCTATCTCACCACCTTGTAAACTACGTATTTGTCTGAAAATATTACATTAAATCATATGATAAAAATAATAATGTGCAAATTTATTCAAATTTCATTTCAACAAAAAAACAAACAAGTGGTTGCCATGCAAGATACACCCACATTTTGCAAGAGATGGACAGAGAACAAGCTAAAAAAGCAATTTTCTTAAAATCATATACCATTATCAAGGATGTAATGTTCTGACACGCTTCGACAGTAAACGGAACCAAGATCTTTAGGATATAAACATATATTTTAAGTTTCATCAAATTGTGACCTCTAGAAGGCCGACAACCTTGGTATTACATGCTTATTATATTATTTGTGTAAAGGGGAGCGGTCATTTTGTCATGACGGTCTTGGTTCAATTTCTACGAAATTCGAACTTTTGGGATATAAACAAATATTTTTTTAAGTTTCATCCAAATCGGATGAAAACTGTGACCATAAGAGTGTCCATAAGCCACAAAAACATAACTTTTCATACAATCAGGGGCCATAATCCATGAAATTATGGTCTGATACATGCCAGTATCGAAAGGAGAGAGCAGGAGAGAGAGAAATGGGGTTTAACGTCCACTTGAAACAAACTAGGTCATTTCGGGACTAACACATGTTACAATTTTATTTCAATAATTCGCTTGCACGTAGGGGTCTTTAGCAGTGGGAGGAAACTCACGAGGTTGGACAGGCGACCCTACTCCTTGTCACGTACAACCGGGGAATCGAAACCATGCCAGTTGACTCAATGACAGATTTTATGATACAGTGCGCATGTACTAACCATTCAGCCATCCAACCCCCCTGTATTGAAAGGAAATGAGATCTTTGGGATATAAACCTATGTTTAAAGTTTCGTCAAAATCAGATAAAAAATGTGACCTGTAGAGTGTCCACAAACATGATAAGAACGTACAGATGGACAGGGGCAACAACAATATACGTTCACATGCAAACGTGGGTGTATAATCTTATACCCATCAATTAATACTTCTTTAAATAACATACATTAATCTACAGAAAAGTAATATTCAATTTATGTGTGCTATGATAGTAAAAAAGGAACGCAAACAAGGTTTTAAGCGGTGGACACACTAGCCAAATGGTTCGCCAAGTGTGTCCACTGCTTTACTTATGCCATGACCTTTAATGATTCATGACTACATACTATTATATAACAACATCAGATATATAAACAGCTTACTGTAATTGATCAATATGAAACTTTTTATCTGTTAGAGACTGTTGTAATAAACTCTGATATACTTTCTGTGCTTCTAAAAACTCTTGCATTAATCTGTAATGAAATATGAATATATAGATGTAATACTAGCCAGCATTGCTTTCACAAAAAAGCCAGAGAGAGAGAGAGAAATGGGGTTTAACGTCCACTCGACACAAACTAGGTCATTTCGGGACTAACATATGGTTTAATTTTATTTCAATAATTCGCTTGCGCATAGGGGTCTTTAGCAGTGGGAGGAAACCGGAGGACCCGGAGAAAACCCACGAGGTTGGACAGACGACCCTACTCCTTGTCACATACAACCGGGGATTCTAAACCACACAACGCTAACCATTCAGCCATCCAACCCCCCTCAAAAAAGCCAATTTTCATTCTTATGTTCAATACCTTGGTAATAATTGCCATTATCTGCAGCTGTTCCAGTACCGACTGTCAGGTTAAAATTAAAGTTCTTTGTGTCAACCAGGTATTAAAAGCCTTTTGTGTTATGGGCTAATTTTCATGGCGCTCGTTATAAACTATTTGAAATCATATATTCTAGAGTTTAAATTACAGACTGATTGACAACTTTCAACCCTTCCGATAAAACTTGTCATATTTACCTGATGTTTTCACTTTGAATAGTTTCCAACTGCGTCTGTAATTCTTTTATAGCATTAGATTTAAATGCAGCCGTTTTATTTGAGTTAGCAGATGAGACACCAGAAGTTGATATTTCTTCATCTGGTTGTCCACCAGCTAGATTAGCACCTAATTCTTTGAATTGGAAAGATTATGTATATTAAACCATTGAATACTGAAGAAAATATAATTAATGCCAGGGAATTTATAAAGTAGAATTGGTAAACCATTTTTAAACAAATAATAAAACCTAAAATATTAAAGTGATAGACTTCATCTCAAACAATATAACCTTTTTTTATGTAGTAAGCTTGAATACAAATAAGGCAAATAACTGGAATTAAGTAGCTAGAGAAATATACAACGATAAAAATAAACATCTGATTGTGTTAATTTATTTTAAAAGTATAAAGTTCATCAAGTTATAAACTATGATACAGGATCTTTAATGAATAAACTACAATAGGGTGTTCCCACTTTGCCGGCAGGCTTTGATGTCATATTTGGCACTAATCCAGAGTTAATCCTATAGTCCATATCTTTTTTAAGAATAAAACTGTATTGACTTTAACAAATTTAACTTTTATTAAATAACGTTAAATAATTTACACATATAAAAATGTACTGATTTTAACAAATTTAACATTTATTAAATAACATTAAATAATTTACACATACAAAAATGCATTACAATTTACATATATAACCTTTATTAAATAGCTTTATATAATTTATAAATAAATGCCTTACAACATAACAATCATTTTACAGCCCCACTAAATAGGAATTTTGTTCCATTCTGATTTACACTTAAAGTGCCATTTAATAACTGTGTTTTCAAATGGTCAATTCATGTATCAAGTTGTCGATATTTCTTAACTGGAGGCCTTTTGGTACCACCAAATAATATCTGCGAAATTTCAGCCACCTTGATTATTGGAGATAAAGTGAATATTAACCTGAACGTTTGCCATTTTAAAATAAATATAATTTCAACACAGATCGACCATCTATTTATATTAATATAGTGAATTGAATTCATATTTGAAGGCATAATGCCGAAATGAACTGTGTTCAAAATGTCATTAATTAGTTGGTTAATAAATTTTATTAAGAGGGATTAAGAGCTCATTAACGCTGAACACTAGTGAACAGCGCTTGAGTGACTACTTTAAAACAGACTATAGTTATAAAATCGATTAAAGGATTAACAGTCTGCCGGCAAAGTGGGAACACACCACTACAACATTTCTCATAATCCAGTTGACTGGATGATGATTGTTGTCAGCAGTAAAAGGAATTTCAATATATATATTAAAATTTAAACTTTTAATAATTTCACTGTAGTGGAAACAGTTGAACACACCGTCGATTCCACTCACAATACATAAAAAAATTACAGCAGCTCACTTGACCAAATATCCCATTTGGCAATATGTTCAAATCTCAGATTCCTGTATCACTAATGTATAAGATAATAAAGTAAATAAGTACCTGGAGATATAATAATTATAGCAGCTTGTACAGCATTACGTATTAGATTATCTACAGCAAACATCCAATGAGGCTGAATACTGTGAGTCTTTAAACTACTTCCAACCTATTAAACATCCATAATACATCAAAATAACCAATTGCTCAAAATTTTCAAGTGGTAATGATCAATTGGATACCAGTACTCAATTGGGCATTCCAAAGTTAATTTCTCTCGATCCTGCGAAAGGTGGCTATTAAATATTAGCCCAGTCGGTGCAGAAACATTTCAAATAATTTGGTTCTACTATTTATGTGGATATGTCATTTAAAGACAGCAAATATATCATTGTTATAATTTACAATGTTATTATAATTAGTGATTTAAGTATTGTATACTTACAGCTTCTTGAAAAACATACAAGGCCAGTTGTATCTCCATTAAAGCCGTAACATCAAACTGCACACCATCTCGCAATTTATCTGCATAATATTAACAAAAAACATTTATTTAATTAAATAATAACAGGCTGGTACCATGTTCTAATGCATATTATTCAAGCCTGCTTATCCAATATGGAAGATAGGTTCTTTCTTTCTTAGCTTCCAAGTAAATTTATTACACTGTATTTATTACTGCTTTTTAAAGCATAAACTGAAAAATTATATGAACCAGTTGGTTGTGGTCCCCCAACTGGTCGCGAAAATTAAAACTTACTACCATACGGTACATCTGGTATTTACCTATGCATGTTTCAAAATGTAGTTATCTTCTTCTACTAGGAGTTCACAATGTATTGAACATTAGTTACATGCCAGTGCAATATATTCATTAAATTATACATAAAGCAGTGTAATAGTTGGTGTCTAGTCACCAAAATATCTGATAGAAGTTAGCATGTTGTAAAGTAACACCATGCTGATTGAATATTAGGGTTTGCCAAGCAGAAACACAACAAATAAACTTACCTATAGCCTCCGATATACTTTTACAGGATGGATCTTTAACATGGCCCATTAACCCCAGTAATAAAATTCTCATATGATTCTAAACAGAAAATATTCAAAAACATATTTATAAATATATTCAATAGTAACCATTTCCACTTACATACTGTAATGTAATATAAATGATTAATACCTTTATTTAATGTCTTTTTTGTTAAATTTTGCCTAAAAAGTACTGTTACAGCATGCATGTCAACCTTCAAGCGACCAGGCATATTTATTCAAGTAAACTATGCTATCAAAGTTTAGCCACAATCCAAAACTAATAGTTACTTACCGTTGTTAATTTTGGACTTGAAATTGAAGCATCACGATGCAGCAACCCCAGCCATGTATCACATATCTGGAAATAACAATAAACACTTTCTACAGCTTTTCATGATGATATATTGAGTTTTAAAACTAGCAGGGTAATCATACAGATATTATCTGTTTTCATTTAATGGAATGGAACTCTCAAGAGACTAGAGACATAATAACAAACGTTTAAGTCTTAAAGGACTTTGTTTAATTGAGGGATTATCTGCAGATATGGAATAATTTATTTGTAATTAGATTATGGAATCTGAATGTTCGTTAGGATCAGTGATTACAAATACCTTATTACCAATCGTCACGTAATTTGGAACATTCCAATAATCAACTAAGCATCATTAATGCAGTTTTATTATATTTTTTATGTATGTATCTAAACTAATATTTGTGACTGTCGTTTGTTTGTTTGTCTGTTCAGGGTTGGCGGCTACACTAGGGCTGTCCCGAGGCTGAAATTTGGTGTATAGGGGTAGCTCGGACTGGGGAGAGACATAGGCCTGGTGTCGATTGAGTACCACTTGAGTACCACTTCCGTTTACAGAGTTATGCTACTTCCAGTTCATGGCTATACCCGTGCTAGTATGTATATAAATGCATGCTTACTTACTTTTTCTTTATCTTGATTCATAATCTGTACTAGTGTCATTCTTCTTTCTGAATCTTTACGTAGTAAATAAAAACCATCTTTAGATCCGCCAGTATCAGGTGTCATTTCTATATCAGGTGATAACAAATTTGTACAGCCACTAGCATTTGATAACGCAGAATCGGTACTAGAAAACACAACAAATTTAACATTTAAATTCTCAATATATTCATGTAATAAAATAGTTAAATGTTTTCGCAAATAAAACTCATAACTTATTTCTTTTTTTTCTTTTTTTACAAAATCTATTCTTTAATATATATGCAAATTCAAAATATAAGCATGCTTTAACAAGAATGAGAAGAAGGAAGTTTTAATCAAAGTTCGTAATGTTCTAAAATGTTTTAAAGTAAAAAATAAATATTTGATATATTGTTATACACTATAAAATAAGTGTGGAAACAAAACAATGTGCAAATTGGCATTATGGGTAAATTAAAGCTGAAAGTGACTTTTTTAATGCTAATAAAACCTATGTTACGGGATTGTAAATCAATCTATTTTTTGCTATATATTACCTACCTGCATGGTTGACTGGGCCAATGCAAAACTAACAATATCTTGTTATTTTCTATTTGCATGGTCCTGATCAACCACACAATTTGTTGTATTATACCCATAAATTATATGCAAGGTATCTATAATTTCCGTTTACCAAATCCAATCTCTCATGTTCAGATATTTTGTAAGCCACATGCAGCTTTTTAAAATTAATATCAAGAATAATGGTTTATATTTATATTTCATTTATACTCATAATTTAGAGTCTACTACATATACTTCAATCCCAATGCTGAAGTCTTCAATTTTTAACAATATATTATTAAGTAGAGATGAATTAAACTTAATGGAAAAATAGTGCTATAGTACCATTCTACTGTATTACTATTAGTAATGAATAATTAGCATTAGAAATTTATGTGCAGTAACAGAAACTAGTATGCAAAGGAATGTTCAATAATGTTAAGGAAATGAAGAAATAAAACATGGGACAGGAGCTTGTCCGGCCAGCTTGTAAGTCCACCAGGAGCAAAGTTACACATTCTGGATATAAAACCAAATTTTAAAAAAATAAAACAACTACTGTATACATATCTCGCTTTTCAGCAGTTGAAAATAATTTTTAAAATTTTAGTCTGTGCAGTCTGCATGAAATTTTAGAGTCAAGCATAACAAAATGGAAAGTACCAGTAATAATTGTTTTACAACACCAAATTTCTGTGAGAATTATTCTTACAAGTTTCACCATCTCAGGAAGTTTCAATAACAATTTTTCAGAATTCCCTAATAGATTGTTTATACAGATGGAAGGACTGTCATTCTGACGAAAATATGTGACCACAATATATTAATGCAGGTGTGAATAATGATTAAAAGCCATTAAGTTTATTGTTATGTATGTATGCCATGAATGACATATGAACTTGGGATTTTTCAAATTTTCCTTTTGCCTTTCAAAGATATTTTATTATAACCTGAAGAATGATCCAAAACTGAAATACATGTATTTGAACATTCAGAAATCTAAATAGTAAGTAAATCATGCTAATCAAATTATATCAACTTTATAATCTAAGTGCAAGACAATAACCAAATTAACTAGAAAATATTATTTTTGACAGAAATCGTATAGAAATACTTCTATTAACTAATTAATAAACATGATGTTAGGTAATATTTAGAAATACATATCCAAGAACCCAATTAGATATAAATTATAATGCATCTACAAGAATTAATATGTACCTTGGTGTTCTACTGTAATGAGGATTTTCTGTATGATATAATCTGTAAACAAACAACATCAGGTGTACAAAACATATAATACGTAGGTCACTGTAGGTATACGTAACAATAAACATTTAATATCTCTAGTTTCAGATATCAACATGCATAGTAGCTTTTGGTAAAGAATTTAGGATACCAGAAACACTTGTGTAGCCTATTATCATGTACCGGTATACAGAAATGTTAGTTTTAAATTGTTCTCTTGACATATTACATCTTGGGCTTCCTAATTTGCATGCAAATATGACCGATCAAAGACTAATATATGTAATGAAATTCAACATGAACAATTCCAAAGCAATTCAAGCAAATATGCATGCACATACACAAGTCACCCACATCACTTTTTTCTTTGCTAACAATAATCATTAATTATACAGTTCCTAATATAATTATAATATTGGTGCAGAAAAGTAGGTGGTTAAACTCCATTTCTTTTTCTAATGTAATAAGTATCATATCTTTATGTTGTGATCATAATTAAATGTTGTATTTTTCTCAACAATCAGCTCAGAAAAAGTATCGAAGTTCAAAGACAATATTTTAAGCTCAAACTTTCAAGGTGAGCTATCCTCATTTAAAAACCATGGAGAACAATAATTAATATAGACGGTATAGGTTTTCAGAAAATTGTATGGAACTAACATAAATATTTCTTAAATTTTGTAACTGGTTTCTTCCATTTTCATGCATATGGATGCCACCATTACTGATCGCCACATGACATTATGATGCAATTAGTTTCGTAATTCAATGGCCTAATGTATGTCAAATTTTGTCATATTAACAAAACACTATATTTTCAGAGGGTTGGTTGTAACTTATTCACAATAAAAAAAAGGTTCTTTTTGAAGACAATAGCTAAAAGAAACAAGAGTTTAAGTGGTTATGGAAACAACCAAAGTCTGTCACTCACTCATTTAAATGTGTGGAATAACACAAATTGTTTTGAAGCAAATAAAGTGTACAATAAAATAAAGATCTGAATAATTAAGGATTAAATGTACTACCGTAATTCAAAATTTAAAATTTTAAACACGTTTGGAGATGGTTTTAATACAACAAATTAATTGTTCACTGATTCATATTTCTGTCCATAACAGTAATTTTATCATACAACAAATAAGCCTGAAATTTTTGACTGGCCATCGCCATCTAATCCATCAAGACGACAGAATCAGTTTTTCACAAATTATTTGTCTCAACAGTTGGTTAAATTATATTAAATATTAAAGTTTCATCTCAATCATGCTTTTTTGTTTGCAGAAATTCCAGTATTAGTTTATAATTGGCTGACCCATTATGAGTTTATCATTTAATATCAATGTTCTAGCAATGTTGTATGCTGGAAGTTAGAGCACCAATGACATCATTATGACAGGTTTATGTCACATGACAAACCAAAATGTCTACAAATGGTTTAAACTTATATTATTAACCAAAAGTTATATAAATAATCATATTATCAATAGTTATCAATAGTTATAATAAATTAATGGTACTTTTCTGATTTTAATGAATAAGGATTGTTCCACTTTAAAAGCAAATGTTATCCCATACATCGCTACTTTCTTATACTACAGGTACTTGCGAAAGTAATTATCATACTTTATTCTACTTTATATATCCAATAAGAATGAATGAATATTGTATTCTATTAACATGCAATTCTTCTACAGTCTACATTTAAATTTTCAGTCACAGTGCACTTTTTATTAGGTGGTTTTACATCTAAGAAAGATGACTAGGTATGTTTGTACATGTATGATGCATTTTATTTATAATTACGATCAGCATTGTATGAATAAAATACACAGCAATGCAATGGCTAATGTCTGTAGCCGAATATATCACTATCAGAATATATAATAGTTTTAATTCATACTTTCATAATATGATGAAATAACAAAACATAAGCATATTATTTGAGCATACAAATAAGTATAAGAAATATTCTTTTTTTTTAGGAACTGTAAGCTTACAGTTACACTAAAATCAAACATTGATCATTATATACCGGTACCAGCTCTTACATAACACAAAGCATTGCCAGACAACGAACTTACACCCCTACCAGCATCATTTTAAATGGTGGCAAACTGGCAAGTGCACCATAGTGATTTAAATTTGTTCTGAAAAATGTCAACAAGGTTTTTGTAACAGTGGCAACAGCATGGAATTGATAGGTGTCGGCCTTACGTGTAATGGTAGCCAAAAGGTTGAAATATAAATCTAAAAAAAATAATTACATTTCTTATTACATGCCAAACAATCCCAGCAGGTTTGACAAAGAAACTAGTGTTGTGTCCTATAAAGGGTTTACAGATCTTCAGTCAGGGGAAGTGACTACATGTAAAATAAATGCTTCACCTTGAATTTCAAAAGGGTTTCTTTGTGTGACTAGCTGGACAAGAGTAACAAGTTTGTAAAATCAATGTTATGTTTTCTCCTTATGAGCAGCCAATAAATCCAAGCAAGTTTGAAGAAAATATTCAAAAGAATTTACAAGGTTTTAGTGCGTGACTCTGACTTTCAATAAGCTTCCTCATGACTAGCTCAGTAATCCAAACAAGTTTGAATTTTTTCTACATGCTTACATGGATACGGCCACAGGGAATTAACTCTGACTCTGCATGAAATCAATTTGCTACATTGATAAGGATTGGTATATAAAACTAAGATCTAAATAATTGGACTAGCAGAGTGTTTACAAATAATATGAACAGAAAAGACTGACAGGAGTCTTGACAATATGTGATGTATGGGTCTAATAGAACTGTCTCATTAACACCAGACAGACAACATCTTTTACATGTACAAATACCCAAGATCATTATGTAAGAAGTAAGGAGTAGCATGCCCTTTAAACAAACAGATAAGTACATTGATCACAGCTAAAATCCGTATTCAGAGAAATAGTGCTTCTAATCTAAATAATAAATATGGTCTACGAAGCCGACAACTAGATAGAGATATTAATAAAGATGCACGAAATTAGAAATACAACTTCAGCGCAAATATCATATAATATATATAATATATGTGTGTATATATACCCATCAAATAAAAACCGAGAGAAGCTTGCGTAATGTTTAGGACTAGGAAGAGGTGAGAAATCGGAACTGAAAAATGGGAAATGAAAACTTACTTGATTAGGTTGATACGTTTACTTTTAGATCGAAGCCTTGAACTTAAATTCATTGATTTTTCATATTGATTAAGATGAAGCTTTGTTTCAAGACTATCATTATACATGTGAAAAGGTTTAAAATCTTTTATTATATTAATTAATTTTTGACACTGAATTAATTTTATTTCAATTCATTTTGAATATCATATGTGACTTCTCAAAGTTATCATAGAAAAAGTAGAAAAGAATTGATCTAACTACAAGCTTTATTTCTCTGTATATGGAAAAAGTAAACCCACCTTATAGCAGACGGGACGCTGTCAGAATAACAGCGTGGACGAAATGAACGTCTGTAATTAGTTTAAATGACCATTTGCAAGTTGTATATTCGTTAAAAGATGAAATTTTAAAAATAAAAAAAGAAGATCTAAAAGGATAGGACCTCTTTTCTAAATGTCAGTTTCATATAAAACATTATGTTCATTCATTGAGTGGTAGATTTGTCAATCTACATCTAACATTTTCCATCTTCATTCAGGTTTCAGTTGTCTATAGTTGAAAATTAACTATTTAAATACACTGACTTCTGCTATATTTGCAGTTATGATTTTCAGAGGTCCTTCCCCTAAAATACAACAGTATTCTCTTGAAATATTACATTTTATAGTATCAGTTTATCCAGTACCAAATTGATACACTATTTCATCAGATTTGTTAGTTTTATTTTATAATTTTATGCAAAACAGATCAAAATATATTTTCTCAATTGCACTGAAAATCTGTAGACTTATTTTTTTTCTCTGTACAGAAAAAGAAATGAATATATGATATAAATGACAGGATGGTTGTCAGATGTCAATTCTGGGTATTGTCTATTTGTCAAAAATTGTTGTTGATATGTACAATGTAATAAATGTTACAAATGAAAACTGCTGTATGGTAAAAAAAAACCAAGGTACAGAAAACAAAATGTTAACATAAATAGTAATAAATTTATTAAAACTGCATTTTCAGACACAACAAAAAAAATCGGAATAAAAACAGAATATGTAAGTATAAATAATAGGTGAGTAAAAGCAGAAGTTTGAGTGTTAGTTTAAGAGTTAGTTTTAAATCGGGGCATGCTACAATAAAAACGCTCTATAGACGGCCACAATATGGAGGAAATAGGTTTTTAGAAAATTTGACAAAGACTTTCACCAGAAAAGTTTGTTATGCAGAGATCAATGGAAAAATCTTCATACATCAAATAATTACTTCACATTTTACAATTAAATTCAACTTAAATCGATCGAACTTCAACAGTTTCACTTTGACTTACAACATTCTGTTCTTGTTAGTGAAATTCAATGTCTGTTGAATGGTAATTTTGGTGCTGAGCAGTGAGCACATGTAGTTAAGGATCTCAGAATCTAAGATTTTCTATGAAAAACACTTTGGTCAATGCACATGTCACTGCAAATATTATTAAACCCTTTGGCTGTACATATTAAAATATTGTTTATTGATGGAAGATGCTAAGCTAGCCTACTGTTTATGAACATACCTTAGTCCTCCATCTATAGCACTTAAATCAAGATAACTTGAGGTAGGAGACGGATATAATCTGAAAACAAGTGAGGGACATTCATAGCCTACAAAACACTAATTTAAATTTTTAAAAAAACTTTACTACTACTTCTATCCCTGTAAATTAATATGACATGTGCAGAAACAACATGCAAGGTTTGTACTGTCTTATTAAAAAAATCTGACATTACTGAAAATCTAGAAATTTATAAATTAGAAGATAGTTATTTTTAATACTGGATACAAAGTTTAGTCTAACAAACATAAAAGTTTTTATTTATTTTCCAATTTTCAAACAATTTTTAGCCTTATTTTTTCACGCTGAAATGTACTCAAAGTGATTTTTTAAAGCATGTAATCAAGAAATCAAAATATCAATCGTAGTTAATCTCCTAGCTTGGATGCAGTGTTTTACTGCACTTACTGGGCTAATGAAAACAAAATACTGAATGGAAATAAACCATTTTTGGACTGATATTTATTTTACTTTTGGTGATCCAATTTTCGCAATAATTTAGTTTGCATATGATTAAGCATCTCTCAAATGACAATCAGATATACATCCTTGACAGTCAAGATCCTATATACATAGTACTGGATATCTGTATTCAAATCGCCGAAACATCACTTTTTATTGCAAGACAATGAGTTCTACACAAGCACCATTTCTAGGGGTTGAGATATTTCATAATAATTGACATTTTAACTTTATGCAATTGTTGTCTATAATAATTTTTTGATGGTCATTAGACATATCCCGCTTTCAGATTAAAATATGTTTTGTATGTCAAACAGATGACTTCATTATGCTTGATGGAAATATCTTAAATACAAGGCTTTGATGTTTGTTTACTTCTGATTGACATAGAGCACTCTTCAGAATACAGGTTTTCCAGTTTTTCAGTAAATCAACAAGTACAATCTTACTATGGACCAGGAACTGACCATGTTGTTGGATGAAATTCAAAAATCTAATTCACCAAATAGATTCAGAGTTGTTCAAAGAACAAGCATGCCAATTTTCATGACAATCGGATTTGAATTGACGGAGCCTTAGGCTTTTTAATAAAAGAGCGTCTCCCCAAGAAGAAAAACAAGATGAGTAGCAGTCAGTGACCAGTTCCTGGTCCAAAAATTCTAATAACATTGATGCTTTTTAACTATTCATGCAAAATACGTGCAAACCAGTCCAGAATGTAAATTTCTAAAATTATTCTTTATCATATCTAATGTGACATTACAAAAAATTCCTGGATTCTGGCATGTATTCAATTCTCTTCAATATTTGCAGAAGTGCAAATCAAAAGTATTTATAGTGTTAAATAAAGAAGCAACAAATTGTAATGTGCATATAAAAGTTATGTAGAATTACACACCCTTCTTCTTCAACTGGTTCCAGTGGATCTAGAAGATTCTCTACACTATTTGACAACCCCTCTTTTTTTAACCTAGCAAAATATTCAAAAGCAACACAAATAATGAAATGTTTAAAAATCTTTCTACCGATTTTATATAATTACAAGAAAGGTGTCAACATTAGTTAGTTAGAAGGTGAAGTATTTATAGGAATTCTCACAATAACAAAAATAGTGACAATCGAATGAAGACCCTCGTCTGCCACGGCATAATTCATTTTTTTTTTGCCGTGGTAGATCTTATGATCCTTATAATGACTAATGTACCGGTTATAGAATAGTACCAGGAGGATGCCGTCTGACCATGTAATAAGGTCAATACATATTTTGTTTATCATTTTGTATACGAAAGTCAGACAAATTTATTGCAATTATCGAATACATTTTTAACCCATGTGCTGTAGGCCTATCCATGCTTTACCATGTACAGTGGTGTTATTTTCAACAATTATAAACTAAACTAGACATAGGGTGCACAGACTGTTGCCTGGTTACTCTGGCTAATGCATGAACAATATTACCATTCTCATCATTTGTATTTTTTAACTGTATCGTTTGTCACGTATCAAAGACCTGGACCGATTCACACCCTTTGTTTGTAATTACTACACCCGAAGTTGACAAAGGGAAGTAACTCTCATCAGACAAGGTAAGGAGTTAGCCTAAACGAGAGAAGTCCAAATTATTCTAAATTATATAATATTGTATTAATGAAGACCGCGCATTTATATATATATATATAGGTTCAAGCGTTTTTTTGAGAAACGTTTGTTCGTTCCTTCCCGGAATTTTACATCCACGTTCAATTTGAAACAAGAGTTATTGTGTAAAAAATTTGTATAACAGGCTGACAGAGACGTTAGCAAACCCATTTCAATAGCCCCCAAATAAAAAAAAAAATCTTACCGAGAAACTCTGGGTACATTTATATTCAACTTCAATGCTGCTGTCTTTTTATCAAATGGTTCTGGAAATAAAACAAGCCAATATTGAAACTGATGTCCCCTGTCAAATTGAACCAGCGGCTGCCAGGCAGGATACGCCCACATTTTCGAGAGATGGATAGAAAACAAGCTAAAACGAAAGTGATTTTTCCTACAATCAAGGGCCATAATTCAGGAAATTACAATTCGATATGCGCAAATATCGAAAGGAACCAAGATCTTTGGGTTATAAACTTACATTTCAAGTTTCAACAAAATCGGATATACCATATTTTTACGCAATTTGAGAACGAGGGGCGGCCATTTTGTCTGTCAGTTTTGGACTGATATTTCACGAAATTCGAACTTAGTCGTCCCTAGGGTGTAACAGTGATATATTAACACGGTTTTTTTAAATCGGATAAAAATTATGACCTCTATAGGGTCCACAAGCCAAAAAACGCATTTTTGCGTACTATCTGGGGCCATAATTCAGGAAGTTACGGTCCGATATGCGCGGATATCGAAAGGAACCGAGATCTTTGGGTTATAAACTTAAATTTCAAGTTTCAACAAAATCGGATAAAAATTGTGACCTCTATAGGGTCCACAACCTTGACATACCATATTTTTACGCTATTTGAGAACGAAGGGCGACCATTTTGTCTGTCAGTTTTGGGCCGATTTTCACGAAATTTGAACTCAGTCGTCCTTAGAGTGTAACGGTGATATAATAATACGTTTTTTTAAATCGGATAAAAATTATGACCTCTATAGGGTCGACAAGTTAAAAAGGCGATTTTTCGTACAATCAGGGGCCATAATTCAGGAAGTTACGTTCCGATATGTGCGAATATCGAAAGGAACCGAGATCTTTGGGTTTTAAGCATACATTTCAAGTTTAAACCAAATCGGATAAAAATTGTGACCTCTACAGTGTTCACAAGCCAAAAACGTGAATTTTCGTACAATCAGGGGCCATAATCCATGAAGTTACGGTCCGATACATGCCAATATTGAAAGGAACCGAGATCTTAGGGTGATAAACCTATATTTCAAGTTTCATTAAAATCGGATAAAAATTGTGACCTGTAGACGGACCGACAGGGACGACGACAATATACGTCCACATGAAAATGTGGGCGTATAAAAAGTAATTAGATGACACACATTTTTTAATTGCATATTTATCTTTTTATAATTCTCACTCAATTAAAATCAAAGTTGTCAAGCTCCAACAATCAAATTGCTCATCATTGAACTTAGTCAAGGTATTCATGTAATTATATATACGCCAAGTTCCACCATTCTCACTTAATTAGAATCAAAATTGTCGAGCTCCAAAGTCTGAATCTCAGCCAAAAATGCTCATTATTGAAATTAATCAAGGTATTCATGTAATCAACCTATACATCAAGTTTCATCACTCTAAAGCAAAGTTGTTATCATGTTCCAAAGCATCAACTAATCATATTGCGTATCTTTGCTTAGCCTAAGCAGAACATGCTCATCATTGAACTTAGTCAAGGCATTCATCAAATAAACATCTACACCAAGTTTGAAATTTCTAGCTCAATTAGATTAAAGCAGAGTCACTGTGTCCCAAAAAGTGTGACAGACCTATTTTAATAGTCCCCTGCTTTCTTCGAAAGGAGGGGAACAATTAGATAAGATAAGGCAGCGGTGTTACTTGGTCATTGAAAACCCAACAGTAACCGTTATCCGCGATCTATTCACATTAAATAAAATTTTTATAGATTAAAATGTCTGTTGCACAATAGCCGGGCATCGGCAGACTTGATCATAATAATAGGTCTAAATTATTAGTGATATGCTTCTAAGTTAAAGTTGGTTAATTCATTCATTCTTGGCATTTCATTTCTTCATCTTTCCCTACTCTGACAGGTTTCGAAATGACCTGTTCCAATGAGGTTGATGATTTGTTCTGACATAAATATTTAAAAGCATAAGCTTATCTTTGGATTTTTATATACAAAATAAGTTAAACAAGCCAACAGTGAGGCTGATGTCCCCCGCCGAAATAGGAAAATAATTAGAGGACACATATAAAAATCAAATTGCGTATCGCTCTGCTTACCCTGAGCAGAAAATGCTCATTATCAAACTTAGTCAAGGTATTACTGTAATGAAACTATACACCAAGTTTCATCAATCTCACTTAATTAGAACTAAAGTTATCGTGTCCCAAAGCATCAACCAATCAAATTGCTTATCTCTGCTTACCCTAAGCGGAAAATGCTCATCTTCGAACTCCATCAAGGCATTGACCTAATCAACACATACACCAAGTTTGAACATTCTAGCTCAATTAGGAAGAGAGTTATCGTGCCCCAAAGTTTTAACCAATCAAATTGCTTATCTCTGCTTACCCTAAGCGGAAAATGCTCATCTTCGAACTCCATCAAGGCATTGACCTAATAAACACATACACCAAGTTTGAACATTCTAGCTCAATTAAAAGTTATCGTGTCCCAAAGCATCAACCAATCAAATTGCTTATCTCTGCTTACCCTAAGCGGAAAATGCTCATCTTCGAACTCCATCAAGGCATTGACCTAATCAACACATACACCAAGTTTGAACATTCTAGCCCAATTAGGAAGAGAGTTATCGTGTCCCAAAGCATCAACCAATCAAATTGCTTATCTCTGCTTACCCTAAGCGGAAAATGCTCATCTTCGAACTCCATCAAGGCATTGACCTAATAAACACATACACCAAGTTTGAACATTCTAGCTCAATTAGGAAGAGAGTTATTGTGTCCCAAAAAGTGTGACGGACAGACAGACGGACAGACAGACGGACGGACGGACGGACAGACAGACGGACAGACAGACGGACGAACCCATTTTAATAGTCCCCTGCTTTCTTCGAAAGGCGGGGGACAATTATCTAACATGTCAGTCCAAAGAATTTATTACACATGTATTCGTTTCTCTAACCGTGAAGGAAGATAGTACCAATAACCTGTATGTTAATTGTCTTCAACTTCGACCCCAGCGGCACATGGCATCATGATAATATAAATACTTAAAAACGCAATGCCAAATTCAAAGGTTATTACATAACAATTGACAAAATCAAGATAACAAGCATCTGTGGATAATTTCATGAAAGAATTCACTACAAATGCACAACACCGAAACGTCAGAGAACCATGAAACAAAGCAGGGGTCAGCTGAAGTCAATATCGGGTATGTCCACCCTGAGCTCTTGCACATGCCGGAAGTCGCCTTGGCATGGACTGGCACAGATGTCTCACTACACGCTGTGGGATTGTTTGCCAATGATTTTGGAGTGCCTGTGCCAAATCTGCAACAGTTCGTGGTGGCACGGCTTGAGTTCGAACCCGTCATCCAAATTCATCCCAAAGGAGTTTGATCTGTTTCATGTCGGGAGACATAGCGGGTCAATCCATAACACGGACATGATGATTGTTTAGAAAGTCTCTTGTCAACTTGGCAGTGTGGGGTCGGGCGTTGTCATGCTGGAAAACCATCTGTTGACGGACGCCAAGTTGAGCCAGCAATGGAAGCAACACCGGACGAAGGATGGCGTCAACATAATGTTGAGCATTGAGATTGCCTTGGACCACCACCAACTGGGGCCGGAAGTTGACGTTGATAGCCGCCCTAACAATGACACCACCGCTCTCCAAAACGATCCCTTTCCAGCACGCAGTTACAAGCAAAGCGTTCATGTTGACGTCAGTAGATACGGTGATGTCCATCAGGAAAACTGAGGTTGAATCAGGATTTATCTGAGAAGATGACATTTTGCAGATACCCCTGATTTGCAGTCCATTGCTGTCTGGCAAGCTGATGACGATGCAAAAGGATCTGACCTTGGTAAGGTTGACGGCAGCGTAACCCAAGAGCAGCCAGACGCCTTCGGACTGTTTGAGGGCTGATCTGATGTTGCCGTGTTCCAACAGTTCCCCTGGCAGTAGCTGACTGGAACCTGTTGCGTAGATGCTGTAGTCGGATCTTGAGCAGCGGTTGTTACAGGTGGCGCTCCAGGTCGGGGTCAATCGGCAACTCTTCCAGTGGCGTGGAAGCCTTATCTGAGGTGAGCAATGGTCGATGGGTGGACATTAAAGTGTCTGCCGACTGCTACCTGTGAAGCCCCCCTGATACAGCATGGCAATAGCTCTGTTTCTGTTTTCTTGTGTAAGGCATGGTATTTTTTGAAGTGATGACTGTTGAAATAATTTAAAGGGCCAGAGTACAGGGAATGCACGTGCAAAACGTGAGACATGGGACTGCTTAAAATCGTGATAAAAGACAAGTGTTGCGTTTGCACGAACAAAGTTCATTACCGAGAACTGATATTGGATTCAAACCCAGAACTCTACAAAAAGAGACCCATCACAAGTTTCACCTATGTGCCATAAGATAGGAAAGCCCAAGAAAACGTTTACCAGAAATATTTCACGAATTAAGCATTGCGTTTTTAATAACTTTGAGTGTATGTTGTATTTGGTGAAAGAAAATGCTGTAAATACCATTCCTTGGTTTGAATGGCAGATATATAGCTTTTTTTTACTTCCTGTTTCACAGATGGACTTCGTATATATTTTCATTCTAGCCTACTAGACTTTATTTATCACCCACAGTGTCATGTTTATCAATAGATAGTGTATTTTAATGCATCAATTAGGAGATAAACACCGACTGTTTAGAATTTAGAGGACTGTTATTGTCCATTTAAGCGGTATCAAATGGACAATAACAGTCCGATAAATTCTAAACAGGAGGTGTTTATCGAAATGGTAGCCCAAAATATTTAACATTTTTCTAGGAATTCTTTCTTTCGCGATAGTTGATGGTCGTTTTTTGGTTTTAATGACGTAAATACCAAGGAAAACAATTTTGACGTAATGAAAATATCCGTGACGTAATAAGATAAACACTCATTTCCATTCTATTTGGTTCACACAGCGACTGGTTAATTGTGTCTATTTGGAAAGGGAGGTCACTCTGCGATAATTTCAAAGATCGAAACAGAAATCGTAAGTGTATTTTATGTACTTTTTAAATGATTTTAAACTCCAGCGGTGACTAGGTTCGAAATAAATTGCATATCATGTTTGATAAATGTCCATACACTTGTGTGACCGTGTAGATATATGCTGTGTACTGTACGCATGTGGTTGCTATGCTTGTTTACATTGTCATTTCGACGCTGTGAATGAATGTTATGTTTTTTCTTCGCAAAAAACCCTAGCCTGTGCATCTGTATGAAAATTAGTCTCTGTCCTATTCATATCAGTATCAGCCTGACTTGTATATCATTAACAAGCCAACAGTGAGGCTGATGTCCCCCGCCGAAATAGGAAAATAATTAGAGGACACATATAAATTTATCACAAATTATCTTTTACAAAGTATTGAACAATCAAACAGTATATCTTTACTTATAGTCTAAGCATACAATGTTTTTGATGGAATAATTATAGCATATTAAGGGGAAAACATGCTCTATGCCTACAGATCTAGAGTTTGGTTGTATCAACGGGTCTATTTTCCATCTTGCTGCAAGTTGTGCAAAGTTCACTGTTTTCTTTCTGTCATTAAATGTCAATTCATTATTGCATACTACATATTTAATTAATTTATAATAGTTTCTTTTTCAATTTGTTTTTTCCATTTATTTGTTTATTTACCTTGCCTATATTCATTGTATTGGATTGTATTGGAATTGCTCAATTGATGCTTTTATGAACCCATTTTAATAGTTCCCTGCTTTCTTCGAAAGGCGGGGGACAATCAAAGTAGGAGAGTTATTGTTTTCCAAAGTCTCGACCAATCAAATTGCGTATCGCTCTGCTTACCCTGAGCAGAAAATGCTCATTATCAAACTTAGTCAAGGTATTACTGTAATGAAACTATACACCAAGTTTCATCAATCTCACTTAATTAGAACTAAAGTTATCGTGTCCCAAAGCATCAACCAATCAAATTGCTTATCTCTGCTTACCCTAAGCGGAAAATGCTCATCTTCGAACTCCATCAAGGCATTGACCTAATCAACACATACACCAAGTTTGAACATTCTAGCTCAATTAGGAAGAGAGTTATCGTGCCCCAAAGTATCAACCAATCAAATTGCTTATCTCTGCTTACCCTAAGCGGAAAATGCTCATCTTCGAACTCCATCAAGGCATTGACCTAATAAACACATACACCAAGTTTGAACATTCTAGCTCAATTAAAAGTTATCGTGTCCCAAAGCATCAACCAATCAAATTGCTTATCTCTGCTTACCCTAAGCGGAAAATGCTCATCTTCGAACTCCATCAAGGCATTGACCTAATCAACACATACACCAAGTTTGAACATTCTAGCCCAATTAGGAAGAGAGTTATCGTGTCCCAAAGCATCAACCAATCAAATTGCTTATCTCTGCTTACCCTAAGCGGAAAATGCTCATCTTCGAACTCCATCAAGGCATTGACCTAATAAACACATACACCAAGTTTGAACATTCTAGCTCAATTAGGAAGAGAGTTATTGTGTCCCAAAAAGTGTGACGGACAGACAGACAGACGGACAGACAGACAGACAGACAGACAGACAGACAGACAGACAGACGGACGAACCCATTTTAATAGTCCCCTGCTTTCTTCGAAAGGCGGGGACAAAAATATATTACGGTCCATACGGAGTTCAATAAATTGTAGTATTTTTATTCACTTGTTGAAAATCTTCGATTTTGACCAGTCTAATTATGATAGACTGATAGAGTGACCATAGCAACCATTATTGTCAGACCAGCCTTGAAATTAAATTTACTTATTATCTTTCAAATACACTCCCTAACTATGTTTTGTGTGTTTCAGGTGTGTGTTTCAATAAGCCAATGGTTGAATTTCATTGTTGATGATATACAAGAACAAATTCATGAAGATTTCCTAGAATAAAGTTTTGAGGTGTAGAATTTTTGGCCACTGCAAACAAAGTCTAGCACCCAGAAAATATTCATTCGCAGTGAGTCGCCCAGGAAATTTAGAGGACTGTTATACTCATTCGACGCCACTTTTCGACCAATCAGAATCCAAGAAATTTCCATTTTGGGCTACAATTCATTGTTCATATTTGAAGGCAAACAAATATAGTTTTACAAATTTTACATGACAAATCTGTGACCTCACTAAATCTGACCAAATAATTATGGAAGTGCGTAATTATTACGGATGAAAACGGACATGTGGGTGGGTCATGTGAAGCAAACAACTAATTAACCGCAGCCTAATATTTATATATTATTCATTCTCTAATCTTATACAGAAGAAAATACATTAATCCTTTGACATTTCAAAGTCTTCATAATTCCCTCCTTCTATACTAAACACCAGAAGCCCTTTTCTAACCAATATTATAATTTGTTTATTTACCTGAAGTACTTCTATGTAAATCAGTCTCTTGAACTTTTTTCTTTTTCTTTTTATAGTTCCTAAATAAATCAGTAATACAAATAAGAACATTTTATCAACTCCAAGTACTGTAGTAACATCACTGCAGAATTTTAAAAAGACAGTACTCAAACACTTTTTATTAACTCAGTATGTTTTGGAAAGTAAATCACAGCTAATGACCATTAACTTATCCACAGCTGCAAAGATCTATGAATAAAAATTTTAGAAAACTAATGAAAATGTCTGCTTATGTTACAAAGTAACTTACTCTGTTATAAATCTGTCCTCTAATAAATCAGCTGCAGTTGCTCTTTTATCTGGACTTGGTTCAAAACATCTATAATATTAATCACAATTAAAACTGATTATTCTCAACAATACCTAAAGTAATAACTACATCATGAGTTTACAATAGATGACGTGTCTATACATATCAGATATACTAAACTTTAGCAATTTTGTGGAATGTCATACCCTGTTTAGAAATTACAAGGATATGATGAACTGAAAACTTGTCTAAATTCGGCATCCACTGCAGACAATATATTATAGGACATAGTCAACACGAGCCAGCATCACCTATGTTTTTGCTGTTATCTTTTGATGGACCTTTTTTTAATGCAAATGATCCAGAATCAACAATTATTCCGGCATGGCATTAAAAAATCTACCTGACAATTTAACCTAATAGATACTTACCTGAGAAGGAAAGAATGTGCAGCTTTTGACATACTGTCTGGAATTTCTGGATGCATCTTATAGAATCCAATTTTAAACATGGCTGCTTCAGCAGAACCAAGCTGTAATCAATTATATTGTCATAAAATGGTAAGAAATATGTTACTATCAGCATCTGTACTACACTAAGCAGCAAAAGAAACGTCAGGTTGGTATGTTACTCTGAATAGACGCATTGCAAAAAACTTGCCAAATGTTTTTATTATATATTTGTGACCACATCTCCCAACTTTACCTCAGCAATAAGGCTCCCTCACAAACACAGAATTCAAGCCAGGAAATGTTCTCAAAAGTGCAACCTGACTTTTGAGATGGTAATGTGTTTTTCATGATTTTCATGTAACTCATGCTGCACGTGCTGTTCACCGGGACCAGCCCTATAAAATGCACCCCTATACCTGGTTGAATCATTCACACTACAACTCAGCAGCATGCCACGACTCACGACAGTTCAGAGGAACCAGATGCTTGGAAGACTCAACGCTGGCCACACTGCCCAAGCCGTTGCCAATCACTTCCATGTCAACCAACTGCAGATGGCAGGACCAGAATATGGCGTCGACATGGCCAGCGTTATTCTGACCAATGTGTCATGGAACGAGACTCATGTGGAGGTCCACGCATAATGGTTTGGGGTGAAATCGGCCTGAACCAGAGTGTGTGTCCTGTGGTGTTCCAAAATCTTGGTCCAGGGAGAGGAGGCAGTATCACAGCAGTGCGCTACATCGATCAAGCTCTCAGAACCCACGTCAGACCACATTTCGAACGTCATCGAAACAACGTTTTCCAGCATGACAATGCCCGCACCCACACCGCCAGAGTTACTTGTGACTTTCTACAGCAGAACGGTGTGAACGTTATGCAGTCGCCAGCCCTTAGTGCTTATACTCTCAATCCACAGGAGGTATTATTACTATTATCGATATCTCTTTTTAGCATGAACTTATAGAATTTCCAAGAAAACTCATAATTTTTTTAGCATTTCCAAGGATACCAGCCTATAGCCAAAAAGTGACCTGTAGGTTTCTTGGACTTGCATTTAGCATTGTTCATGAAAGATTTGAAAAATCCATGCAGGCATAACTGAGAAAATTTGACTTTTGTTGTCATCATCACGCTTTATTATCAAGCTTTTTGGCCAAGTTTGGAACAAAGTTGGTGAATAAAATTAGCATTTTTTGGTTATTAATGATAAAGATATGAATATGGTTTAAATCAAAAAGAAATTATCGATAATATAAATACTAAATGCCACTTACTTCTATAAATGGTGGTTTTCCTGTAGCCATTTCTATAACTGTACAACCTAGTGACCATATGTCAGCCTATAGTATACGAATATAGATGTATGATTACAGTAATCATACCATTCTTCACATACACCACCACATCAATCTATCTCTTGTCAAATTTAATTTACTCTTCTGATTTTTTTGCACTACAGGCTATCTAATGTTTTGCCAATTTCAATTTATAAATACCTATCAAAATTTTGCTTCCTGTTCTTGGAAAAAATAAAAATTTAAAAATAAAAAAGTACTTTGTTGGTCTTGTCAAAATCTCTTTGTTTTATTATACAGTAAACAATAATAAATATAGTTACCGCGGGTCCATATCCTCTCGCACCTTTGTCTATAACTTCTGGTGCCATATACTGTATTGTACCTAAAAAAACATAACAAAGACTACTGTAGTTAAAATATCAAATATAGCTAACATCTTTATTGTATAAACTATAAATGATTAACTTTCACTCCTTTATTCAGTACTGTGTCTTCAGCCCTGTTTTGAACAGATAGCTGTATATTGTTTAAATTGCCTACACAGGGCATTTTTTAAAAGAAATATTCTAGAAAATCTTTAGAAGTACAATATTTTGAGTGCAACAATCTGGAAACGGCCCAATTTATGATAGCATTATTCTTAGTAGTTTTTTCTTTTTGTTGGTTCTCCAAACAATTTAGAGTACAACCCCTTTGAATTTCAGCATAAATCTTAGGAAAAATAAATTTGGGAATCTATATAGATTCTAGTAGCTGTCCCTGATTTCTCTCACAAAACCACTTATTCAATTTTTTGCAAACTCTTCACACTTGGGTGAGAATGGGCAACAGTTCCCTTTATATAGTAGTTGGGGATTTAAGTACAGGTGAAGTGATTCTGTTTCATCAGTGGTCCCCATCCTATTTATATACTCAGGAAAGACAGTTTATGGCGGATTTAACATTGGGCAAAATTGTAATACAAACCAGCAAATGTGTCAGCGCAGGGGTTAATACCAGCCAACCTTTTAGATGTACCAAAATCTGATATCTTTAAAACACCACTATATGTATTTACCAACACATTATCTCCTTTAATATCACGATGTACTATCTTATTATCATGCTAAAATATACAAACAACATTGTTACAAAAAGATACTCTCATCACAATATTTTGAATGGTTTTTAATTTTAACTTGGAAAATTTTCTGATTAAAGCCACAACATTTCAAACTAAAAGGCAAATAGATTACCAAAAATTATTTAAATGGATCCATTCTAATAGAAGTCATGGCCATCTAAACTGGTACATTCTATTGTTATCAATGATGCCATCTTTTTTTACTATCTTAGTTTGCTAGCCAATGCCTTAAAGATGCATTATATAAGAGCTAAATCTGCCTATTGTAAGTCCTCATTTTGGCTTAAAATGTTACATAAACTATTCTTTAAACATTTATTAACATGACAAGCCCATAATCAACTCTCTGGGCCATGGGATGACTATGATTTTAAGAAGAATAGAAAGCTGTGGCCATTTAACAGATTAGCTATTCTATCCCTAGAGCTCATTAACTCCCTAAGATAATTATTAATAGAAATCATATTAAGAAGTCTGTTCCAATAAAACTATGACTTTTCTCTGTCATAAAAGTAAAATAACGTGAATAAATCCCAAAAGAATTGTTTATTTTTAAAAATAAAAAAAATAAAACAAAAAGTCTCTCATGTCTGCAGCAGTGTTCAAAGTAAACATAAATATGACTTTTAATAAGAAATATTGCGCCAAGAGTCCAAACTTTGACTTATCAAAAAAATTTTATTACCAGATATTTGAGTCCTTCTAAAATCTGTTTAGTATAGTGAACTATGGTAGTTTCGTTATCTTTCAAAGGACCCCACTTAGATTGTAGAAGTTGTGATAAACTACCTGTAATTAAAGAAGATAAAACATCAATAATCCCTAATTAAAACTTTACACAATTTTAAAACATTAGTAACATCAAGAAAATAAATATACAATAAGTTATAACAGAATTGTATTAAAAAAAGTAGTTTGGTATGAAAATACATCATTTCTAATGTGATTTTTCCATACAAAACAGCTATGGCTTAAATAGCCCATATTACTACCTACAAAGTGGAAAACAGTTGAAATCACTTCAGCAGTTCAGGAGAAACATATGAAGATATTATTTGTTACCTCCAGGAACTTGTTCCATAAATATTTTGAAATATCCATCTTCACTCATAGAACCACGATACTCAACAATATTCTTATGTTTTAAACGACTGTGTAAATGGATCTCTTCATGAAGAGGTTGTACTTCTCTGAAATAATAGCATTTTAGCAAATTAAATTCTAAATTCAAACTTAGTACATGAACTTTTATAATCTACATATTCTTCAAAATTCAATGAAAAAATCTGAAAATTCTATTTGTTTGGAATTTATACTAAAACTGACAATGTGATTGTAGACGATGTTCATAGAATATTACGTACTGTTTACACTTCTCTGGTACTTCTTTTACTGCTATTTTAATTTGTCGTTTATCTCTGGCAGCATATACACAACCATAGGTACCTCTTCCTAGCAGCATTCTATTACCTTTCTCATCAAGATCATACACATACTGTAAAACATATAACATTTTAACACATCACAAAGCTTAATTATTATGAAATATTCAATCAAACATATACAACTAAGGAACTATGAGAATATGAATGCTAAAATATTAACATATTTAAAATGTACAATAATTGACTAATGATTTGCAAATTTTCATATTGTTGTATGCCATCAAATTATACCAAAATCCTAGTTAATACTTTAGATATTCAAACATCTGCCTTAATGCAGAAAACAATCTCTCTCCTACCTAAGTCACAGATGTTAAACCATGTAAGATCACTCATCAGTGTAATTTGATACTGTAAACTGGTCACTTCAGATTTTATGTATTGTACATGTATAAAGATACCAGGACAATATTCAGTAACCTCCATCCCCAACCAAGATCCCTCATAACTTAAAGGGGCATTATGGGAGATTAGATAAAGAGCTGGCAGTTCTCACTAAATAGTTAAAGATAGGTTGCCAGGCAACGTAAACATACGCCCACAGCAGCTATATCGTCCGGGCAGTCAACAAGAGTTGTCGCATATTTTTACTTTTTTTGGTAATAAAACATTTATAATACATTAAAATCTGATTAAGAGTAACAACTTATTAAGTAATTATCAGAAAACCATTAGAATTTGTTTGGTTTTTATAAAGTTCTGCCCCATGCTAACGTTAAGTATACGAAACTTTTAACATCATGGATTTAGCTGTTCAAGTCATAAAGATTCATTGAAAATCAATATACTTCTTCGTCTCACGACCTTAAACACTGTGTATAAATTTAAAGTCAATCGGATATTAACTTTAGCCTCTAGAGCTTCCACAAGATTTTTCAAAGTGATCAAGGGCTATAACTCTGGCAGTATTTATTGGAAATCGCTGAAAATCAATAAGACCACATTTCAATGTGGGCGTATAAAAACTAGATAATGTAAAGGGAATTTGCTGAAAATTTCAGTCAAATTGATCCACTCTAAACCGAGATCTTAGCTTTTGAATTTTATGCCTAGCCTCGAACATCATTACGAAAGTAGGTACGATAAAAAAAATATAGTCTCAATTATCCATTTTTGGATTTAATCATCAATGAGTGTTGAGCTGCAGATCAGATTCAAATCCATGACATCGAGAGTTGATTATGGTCTGGATAAGTTAATTAATATCTAATTAATAATTTAGATAATATTTCAGGCCTAAAGAATGACCTGCAATAGGCATATTTAGCTCTTGCACGATGTATGTTTAATAGAGTACTCTAAAATATATATTCATCCAAGACCTACCTCAACAACATCTTCTACAGCATCATCTATATAACAAAATGATGTCATTTCACATACCAAGCTGTTAAACCTAGAATTTAAAAATATATTATAAAACAACATTTTCATTACATACCATTATCACTGAAGGAAAAGGTAAGAACAAGCCAGCCAGTAATGCTGATCCCCTAACCCCCTCCCCTTGTCAACCCCGATATAAATAGATGAAAATTAATTAATCACTTGCTCAAATTGCATACCACAGTCAGGCAAAAAAAGGCTCATCATTGAACTCAGTCAGCTTGAACATTCTACCTCAATTAGAAGCAGAGTTATTGTGTCCCAAAGATTGTCCCCTGCTTTCTTTGAAAGGTGGGGCGCAAAAATACTTCAAAATACTCCTACACTCAATAAAAGCAATAGATTTCAAATAATTTGAATTACAGAAAAAAAAATATACTTGCTTCATTTTTTGGAAGTTGGATGGAAAAAAAATATGAAAATCATCAGAGTTTTCCTGAACATACAGAAACACTGCCCTGACATCTCTCTTATACATACTGAAAATAATATACAAACAATACAAACTTTATTCATATTCCACATCATTTTTCTATATAAATCATCAAGTTATGTTTAAATACCTGGTACATGAAATATGATCAATAGAATAAAAGATCAATATAAGTTTCTAATATAAACATTTTCAGCTTGTTACCTGACTCTCTTGATAGCATCAGATTCAAATGTCCATTCTCCTATTTCGTTACTAGAAGGATCTTGAACAACATGCCACAATTTTACACACTATAAAATAACACAATAAAGAAGAAATGATATATTTTATCTATATATAGCTTTACTGGATGGATGAACAGACAAAGTGCGATGGAACTGGATATGAAATTAATCTCGTAATCTCCGCCCCTCAATAATTTGATCTGACAAGTTACCATACTGTTGTATAAGGACTGTTAGTTGTCTTGGGGAAATTAATACCTCATATTTACGTTGGTTTTTTTTCTCTCTCTGAATTATAAATAATTGCATATATCTAACCTTATCTTCAGTATCCATGTTTATCTGTATATAACTAGGGCTATATTGCTTATTAGGTTCTAATATCAAAACCTACAATAGAAAATAAATCAATTCAATTTACAAAAAAACCATAGTATATCAAATACGAGCGACACCAAATTGCTACATTACTTGTATGCAAACTAGTTCAGTAAGTAGAAAGTGACTTGGCATTTATTCACTAAACACAGCGGGTGTACAACAAGTGTACTGTTCAATAGATCAATGGAGATGAACCCTGTGTGTAACATAGGCAAGATGTTTAATAAACAGTGTTATGCAAACATTAAAAAAAAGCAAAAACTGGGAAAAAAGGTAACTCTTTGTGATGGTCTTAATTACAGTGTGTCTTTACCTACCGGAAATCTAATACCAACAACTTCAGCTTCAGGTTTTATTGCTTCCACAAAAAAATCCATCCAGAAATCAAATAACTAAAAAACATAACACATATAAACTATAAAATAAAACAAAAAGTAAATAATGAAAGATAACACAACAATAAAAATGTTGTCTATCTATATAGCCTAGTTTTCTATCATTCAGAATTTACCAAGCTATGACTCTTGATGTTGAGAAAATGAGGATGTAAATTATACAATTATATTCACTGGTAGCCACCCGGCTTCTCTAGCTAGATTATCTGTCTAGGTCTAATGTTGTGTCCAGTAAATTTAACATTGCACACAGTCAGGTAACAATAGGACTAGCAAATGCAATTTAGAACTATACCTCAGAGTTGCTAGGAGTTGTATGCCCGCAGAAAGAAAGACTGGTTCATTCTGAGAAGTGATTGATAGTATGCTGATCAAAGTGGTATAGTTCTTAAAAGATCAGTACATAATGTGCACATACTTTTAGTAGATTATAGCTTTGTCACAAATTATATTGATATGAATATTTGACCTGTAAAAATGAAACCAGAAAAGCAAAATCAACTCATTAACACCCTTGCAAGATGATATTCTTAACCTGCACAAAAGTCCTGGGTGGATCCATTTCCATATTGTATTAATACTTACTGGATCCATGGCAGTATTTCTTATCTGTCTACGGAATCGATTAATCAGAACAATATTTCCTACTGTTGATTTCAGGTACCTAAATAAATGAGAGTGCATTTAAGAACAAGATTGTTTTTTATTTCATACATTTTTTTCATTGTCTTTTCAATGCATGGTGTTCATCTGCCCTAAATAGGATTCAAATGGTCACTCTACAAATTTTATAAAGATAGGTTGCCATGCAACAAAACATACGCCTACAGCAGCCAAGTCGTCCAAGCAGTCAACAAGAATTGTCGCATATTTTTTCTATTGTTGGTAATGAAACATTTATAATACACTAAAATCTGATTAAGAGTAACAACTCATTAAGAAATTATCCGAAAATCATTAGAAATAGTTTGGCTTTTAGTTCTACCCCATGCTAACTTTTAGTATACGACGCATTTAATATCATGGATTTAGCTGTTCAAGTTATCAAAATTCATTGAAAATCAATATACTTGTTCGTCTTGAAGACCTTAAACTCTGTTCATCAATCTATAGTCAATCGGATGATAACTTTGGTCTCTAGAGCATCCACAAGATTTTTCAAAGTGATCAAGGGCCATAACTCTTGTAGTAAATATAGGAAATCATTGAAAATCAATGGATTTCTTCGTCTCAAGACCTTAAGCAATGTGTATAAATTTAAAGTCAATTGGATATTCACTTTAGCCTCTAGAGCGTCCACAAGATATTTCAAAGTGATCAAGGGCAATAACTGCTGAAATTCAATAGACCTCTGTTTCACACATTTAAATGATGCATATAAATTTCATACATATCAGATGATTACTTTCATCAATCGAGCATTAACAAGATTGAACAAGGTGAAATAAGGGCAATAACTCTAGAATTAATTATTGTAAATTGCTGAAATTCAATAGGCTTCCTGGTTTCACTAATTTAAATAAGGCATATAAATTTTACAAAGATCGGATGATAACTTTCAGCGTTAGAGCATTCACAAGGTTCAATAAAGTGAAACGAGCAATAATACTAGATGTAATAAATTTCATACAGATCGGCAGATAACTTCAGAGGTTTGAGCATTCACAAAGTGAAACAAGGACCATAACTCTAGAAGTAATAAACAGAAATTGCTGAAATTCAATAGGCTTTTTCATCTCAATAATGCAAACCACATATATCAATTTTAAAACAATCGAATAATAACTTTTGGAGTTAGAGCGTTCACAAGAAATTGTGGACATCAGACAGACGGTCCAACGGACAGGGGCGACGACACATTTTCATGTGGGCGTATAAAAACAGTCCATGCAGTTCCTTTCTGTTGCTTTTTAAAATTGTCTTTAGTAAAAGAATTCAAAATATGATATGAATTTCTTCATCAAAAAGATCTGATAACAATCCCAATAATTTTTATAAATCTTAATATCTGTTTAAAACAGAATTGGAATTTCCTCTACACTAACTGAAAAAAAGGAGCATACAATATAAGTGATATTCTTTATGCAAGCTGACTTGAGGTAAGCTCTGAATTCTGGTTTCACAAAGCAGGCATATACAAGAACTTGCAATATTACCCCAAGGTGGATGTGGATGTAAAATATGGTGAACTAGAATAACAGCAACCAATATCATCTTGAAAGCAAGTAAATTCATGAAGACATTTTCTAATTAGAACTTACCAATTAGGAGGTTCTAGTTTAAACATACAATATGCGGCTTGTGATGCTTTACTATAATCCTCTGCTAAAACACTAATCTCAAAAAATGTAGCTACATCCCAATAATCTGTTAACGACTGTAAGCTACCTTTCTTTCCAATTAAATTATTTAATATAATACCTGAAATTATAATTTAAATTATTTAATATAAGTTATAACACCTGAAATTATAGTGTAAATCCTTTAATATACCATAATAGAATACCTCAAATTATAGTTTAAATTATTCAAAATTAATCCTTATCACTAATAATGGCAACTCAAATGTGCGAACAAAATGTCCCGAATTCACAGATTGCAATCTTACATCGAAAATTTTCCCTACTGACAGTTTAACTCAACACGGTGAATGTGCACGCTTCGGTGGCTTGTCTGGAAGTGATTTCTGGCTAGTTTCGCAGTACGATAACACTTGGCACAAGAGTCTATAAGTCTATAAATAGCCATCGCACATGAAATTCTCTACACATCTATCAACTATTAGTCGTAAAAAATCTATTATAGACGATTCTGAATAGCAGTGATATTTAACTTTTTTGTCACTACAGCAGCTTTAGAAATTATGTTTGTTTTATTTTTTAAATTGCTTTATCATTAACCATACCGTTAGGAGCAGCATCTTTTGGTTTAGTATAAATAATATCTCTGAAACACTCGGGTTAGACAAGAACATGATACTAGAAGCAGTTTAATTTTACTTTTACAAAGTTCTTAAAACAATTGTTGAGTTGCCTAATGTGCGTGTTTCTAAACTGAATGTCTTGTTTCAGCTTTCTGTTATGTTTCGTAAAAAAGTAGTCTTGATTATCCCGGCCTGTTAATCAGACGGAAAATGGTCGGTAAACTGGTTAAGTGAGACTAATTTCAACACAGGGGACATAACCTATTTTTTACTAAAAAGTGCCCAGATGTTATGGCCGACACTCGTAACCATTTTTCAGTCTATTATTTATGGATGGTTAAATAGTCTTAGTTTATTAGGTACAACATGACCGTTTATTTAGTGACTATAAATGTGCAAAACTTATTTAAGGCTTGGTATATATATATAGATATATACTATTCAAAAAAAGTAGGGGATATTTGATTTTGGGGGCATACTACTAAAATATGCAAATGACTACGAAAAAAGTCACTATAGAACCTAACAGAAGAAACATTTCCAGTTACATGTGACGCCCAAACGCACCAATAGCTACCGCATGAAATGCAGGTGATGCTTGGGATCATCATGGGGGTCCAACCCAAGATTTGCACGACTCTGACTTTGAATGTTACAGTCATTTTGGCATTGAATTCCAGGGTGGAAACATCAGTTTAATTGTTTTAGTGACCAGAAAACCAATTTTGATATGCGTCGGCTTACCCAAAATGAAAGGTTACGTGCCCTTGGCATGCTACAGATCGGCACAACACAGGCGGTTGTGGCGCGGACGATGAATGTTTCTCAGTCTGTCATAAGCAGGCTATGGTCCAGATACCGTGATACACAATCTGTACAGGACAGACCACGCTCAGGTCATCACAGCAAATTAGATCAGCGCTCGTCTTCAAACAGACACTGGTGTGAGAGTGAGTTGCCAGACGATTCGGAATCGACTGCATAGGGGTCACCTTCGCGCCCGACGTCCTCGCGTGATCCCTTGTTTGAGAGATCATCACATTCAGGCAAGACGTCGTTGGTGTAGGGATCGTCAACACTGGGATAATCGACGCTGGAGCAATGTGATGTTTTCAGATGAGTCAAGGTTCACTGTTGATTTTTTGGACAGACGTAGGAGGGTGTGGCGTCGTCGAAACGAGCGCTTCCAAGACGTTAACGTCATCAGACATGATCGATTTGGGGGTGGTTCTGTTATGGTGTGGGGAGGCATCACTGTTGCTGGAAGAACGGCTTTACACGTTGTTGCAGGGCGTGTTACAGGCCAGTACTACCGGGACAACATCTTGGCAGTCCATGTTGTGCCGTTCGCACGACGTCATGGCCGCCGTTTCATCTTCCAGGATGACAACGCGAGATGTCACAGGGCCAGGATCGTTACAGGTTACCTCCAACAACAGAACATCACCACATTACCTTGGCCAGCACTGAGTCCCGACCTCTCCCCCATCGAGCATGTCTGGGACATGCTTGGACAGAGGTTACGTCAACGTCAACAACGTCCTGCCAATGTCCAAGAACTTGCTGCTGCGTTGCAACAGGAATGGGACAATCTGGACCAAAATGACCTTAGACGTCTCATTAGGAGTATGCCACGTCGGATCAATGCTTGTTTGGCGAACAGAGGAGGATTTACCCGTTACTGACTTGGTTGTGATGCTGTGGTAACTTTGCTGTTTGACCCCGGGTATCATTTTACCCTTATAATGGTCAGTCTGTGTCTTACTTAGTCTAACGATCATTTGGAATAAATCGATGAATGTGAACTTCATTTCATTTTGTCATTTGTTTCTTCGTCAGTTTCATTAGGTGACTTTAATAACACTTAAAAATCAAATATCCCCTACTTTTTTTGAATAGTATATATATAAATATTATGGTGTAATTGTCAAGATATTTGGAAATATTTATTTATGGTGGGGCACCTTAATTCTAGCTGGTTCGTTTCAAAATGGATTTTAAACCCTGGGCTGTACATGCTCCGGTAACATAATTTCATAATTTTCATTGAGTATGGGATATGGAAAATTACTATATAATTATTTACCTTAGAGTTTACTACAAATATATTACATTAGATAAATATTATAATCCACGGATATAATGAGCGACAATAATAACTGTTAACTTAATATTTCTTCTTTGAGCAGCACTTAGCAATTGGCACAATAAGACAATATGGAACACAATTACTATCTTAACTAAAGCGACACTTCATTGAGGGTTCTCAAGCAAACTCGAATGTAAAGTAGCTAGATTCATGAATGTAGGTTTTAAATTACATCTTCTAGATGATTGTATTTTCAATTCTACATTCTCATTATTTCTATTTTCATTGCTTCATTATTAATGTTCTCAACTGGAAGAAACATACTGTTATTTTAAAAATATTTTCACACGTAATATTATTAACATTCTCTATTAAAGTAAGTAGTCATCACTATCTAATTACCTGCCTTGGAGTTTACAAAAATGGTATATTCAGATAAATATATATTACAAAGTATATAATTAGCTCTATAGTTTTCACTGTTAACTTACTATTTCTAATTCTAAAATGGCTACTTTCATGAATCTGAGTTTAAAATTACATCTCCTAATTGATTGTATTTTCAATTTTACTTTCTCATTATTTTTAGTTTTCATTGCTGCTTTATTAATAAATGTTTCCGAACTAAAATGACAATTCTTGCCATTTCCTCAAATTTGCAGAATGGAGCTTAGAATACTTTAGATATTAGTCACCCCTAATGTAAAATTGTGTCAAATGTTTTGTTTTAAGACAAGTGAAATAATGTAATATAAAAAATGTGTTGGACACATGTTAACCATTCTACTGATGACAAACTTATTGTTTAAGTTCTTTAGTTTTAAGTCATTTTATTTTCTACTGTATAGCTAATATAGTAGGAAGAGACGACCTAGAATTATATCCTGTTGCATGAAAACAATAGCTTTATAATACATGTTATACATTTACCAATACGTTGTAGTTCCTGACAGTTTGAGAAATCTTTTCCTGATATAACAAGTAGTGTAGCAAGATTTATACCAGCATATTCGTTTGGTTGGACATCAAAACCCTTTCTATACCTGTAACATAATTTGTAATAAAATCGTGCAGAATTTACACCATCAACAAATTTATAAATGAAATGAAATGGGGTTTAACGTCCTACTGTTCTGCTCCTATATACTGGGCTAATGAAGACGGGCATACGCCATACAGTGTGCTATGAGGGAAATTTTGCCCGGGCAGCGGCACTATCGCCTACTCTTATATCGAATTTCAACTGCCAAGGGATCTCTTACGTGCGTTCCAATGTATACACGGGACCTCGGTTTTCCGTATCATCCGAAGGACTAGACAGCTGTCCTAGCCAGGCCCTCCGTTCTGCACCACTGACAAGGGGAAACCACGTCGGAACCTAGCCACCGTGGCTCCCAACAAATTTATAATGACTTGACCTCTTTGATTTGTGTCACAAAACTGAAATTGTAGATTTATTTAAGTTTGTTTTTCGAGGTGGATTTCTGTCTACACAAAAATGTGTAGATCAATGGATAGAGTCAATATTGAGATATAACTGATTATGCATTCAACAATTTACCAACACAAAACTAAAATTAGTTAATATTTTGAAACAAAAATTGAACTGTATAGATCTTGTCCGATAACACATCAAATCACTTCAATTTTAATAGCTTTATTTTATCCTAATCAAAGCGGTTTAGCTCCTTTGTATTAGTATTATATGGTTTGTTTGTGTTTGGTGAAGTTCATCTGCAATTACTATTTAAATTTGTCTAGATGTGATGGTGTCAAGTACATGCATGGTATGATATGCTTACTCTTGACTGAACACCTGATGTCACTGTCTTGTCGTGTACAGCCTTTCTGTATAGTTGATATCAATATAGAAAGTAGCAATAAAAGACAACACAAGCAGTTGCAATGCAAAATAAACCCACATTTTGCAAGAGATGGACAGAAAACACGCTAAAAAGATAGGTTGCCAGGCAACGAAACATACGCCCACAACAGCTAAATCGTCCGAGCAGTCAACAAGAGTTGTCGCATATTTTTACTTTTTTCCGTAATGAAACATTATAATACACTAAAATTATAATTATCAGAAAACCATTAGAGTTTGTTTGTTTTTATAAAGTTCTGCCACATGCTAACGTTTTGTATACAAAACTTTTAATATCATGGATTTAGCTGTTCAAGACATAAAAATTCATTGAAAATCAATATACTTGTTCGTCTCAAGATCTTAAACTATCAATCTGAAGTCAATCGGATGATAACTTTAGCCTTTAGAGCGTCAGAAAGTGATCAAGGGCCATAACTTTGGCAGTAATTATTGGAAATTGTTGAAAATCAATAGGATTCTTTGTCTCATGACCTTAAACACTGTGTATAAATTTAAAGTCAATCAGATATTATCTTTGTCCTCTAGAGCATCCACAAGATTTTTCAAGTTATCAAGGGCCATAACTCTAGCAGTAATTATCGTAAATCGCTGAAAATCAATAGGCTTCTTCGTCTCATGACCTTAAACACTGTGTATAAATTTGAAGTCAATCAGATATTAACTTTGACCTCTAGAGCGTCCACAAGATTTTTCAAAGTGATCAAGGGCCATAACTCTGGCAGTAATTATCAGAAATCGCTGAAAATCAATAGGCTTCTTCGTCTCATGACCTTAAACACTGTGTATAAATTTAAAGTCAATCGGATATTAACCTAGGCTTCTAGAGCATCCACAAGATTTTTCAAAGTGATCAAGGGCCGTAACTCTGGCAGTAATTATTGGAAATCGCTGAAAATCAATAGGCTTCTTCGACTCGTGACCTTAAACACTGTGTATAAATTTAAAGTCAATCGGATATTAACTTTCGCCCTTAGAGCGTCCACAAGATTTTTTGAAGTGATCAAGGGCCATAACTCTGGAAGTTATTATTGGAAATCGCTGAAAATCCATAGTCTTCCTCGTCTCATGACCTTAAACACTGTGTATAAATTTAAAGTCAATCGGATATTAACTTTGGCCCTTAGAGCGTCCACAAGATTTTTTGAAGTGATCAAGGGCCATAACTCTGGAAGTAATTATTGGAATCGCTGAAAATCAATGGGCTTCCTCATCTCATGACCTTAAACACTGTGTATAAATTTAAAGTCAATCAGATATTAACTTTGACCTCTAGAGGGTCCACAAGCAATTGTGGAATCTGGACCGCCGGACGGACGGACGGGGGTGACAACAATATACGACCACATTTCAATGTGGGCGTATAAAAAGGCAATTTTTCGTACAGTCAGAAGCCATAATCCAGGAAGTTAGGTCCTATATGTGGGAATATTAAAAGGAACCAAGATCTTTGTGATATAAACACATATTTCATGTTTCACCAAAATTTGATAAAAATTGTGACCTCTAAAGGGTTAACAACCATGGTATTACATACTTTTGACACAGTATTTGCATACAAGGAGAGGCCATTTTGTCGGGCAGTTTTGGTGTAATGGTGATATATTTACACGGTTTTTAAAATAGGATAAAAATTGAGACCTTAAGAGGGACCACAAGCTAAAAATATGATTTTTCGTATAATCAGGGGCCATAATCTGGAAAGTGACAGACCAATATGTTTGAATATCGAAAGGAACCGAAATCTTTGGAATATAAACATATATTCCACAACCTTGATATTACATACCAAAACATTAACATTATTTGCGTACAAGGAGCAGCCATTTTGTTGGGCAGTTTCGGTCTGATTTTCACAAAATTCAAACTCAACCGTCACTATGGTGTAACGGTGATATATTGGAATGATTTCTTAAATCGGATCAAAATTGTGACCGCTAGAGGAACTACAACAAGCTAAAAACAAGATTTTCGTAGAATCAGGGGCCATAATCCAGGAAGTTACAGTCTGATATGCCCAAATACCGAAAGGAACCAAGATCTTTGGGTTATAAACAAACATTTCAAGTTTCATACAAATCGGATAAAAACTCGGACCTCTATAGTGTCTACAAGCTAAAAACGTAATTTTTCGAATAATCACGTGCCATAATCCATGAAGTTACGATATTGAAAGGAACTGAGATGTTTTGGATATAGACCTATATTTCAAGTTTCGTCAAAATCAGAAGATAGGTTGCCAGGCGACGAAACATACGCCCACAGCAGCTTAATCGTCCGGGCAGTCAACAAGAGTGGTCGCATATTTTTAATTTTCGGTAATGAAACATTTATAATACACTAAAATCTGATTATAAATCTAAAGTCAATCGGATATTAACTTTGGCCTCTTGAGCGTCCACAAGATTTTTCAAAGTGATTAAGGCCCATAACTCTAGCAGTAATTATTGGAAATCGCTGAAAATCAATAGGCTTCTTCGTCTCATGACGTTAAACACCTCTACAGCGTCCACAAGATTTTTAAAGTGATTAAGGGCAATAACTCTGGCAGTAATTATCGGAAATCGCTGAAAATCAATAGGCTTCTTCGTCTCATGACCTTAAACACTGTGTATAAATTTAAAGTCAATCGGATATTAACTTTTGCCTTTAGAGCGTCCACAAGATTTTTCAAAGTGATCAAGCAGCATAACTATGGCAGTAATTATCGGAAATTGCTAAAAATCAATAGGCTTCTTCGTCTCATGAACTTAAACACTGTGTATAAATTTTTCAAAGTGATTATCGGAAATAGGCTTCTTCGTCTCATGAACTTAAACACTGTGTATAAATTTTTCAAAGTGATTAAGGGCCATAACTCTGGCAGTAATTATCAGAAATTGCTAAAAATCAATAGGCCTCTTCGTTTTACTAATTTAAATGATGCATATAAATTTCATACAGATCAGTTGATAACTTTTGTCGTTAGAGCGTTCACAAGGTGCAACAAAGTGAAACAAGGCCCATAACTCAAGAAGAAATTAACGGAAGTTATTGAAATTAAATAGGCTTCTTCATCTCACTAATGCAAACAACATATATCAATTTCAAAACAATCAGATGATAAATGTAGCCTGTAGAGTGTTCACAAGAAATTGTGGACGAAGGACGGACCGACAGACGGACGGACCGACCGGGGGGGGGGGGGGGGACGGCACTATACGACCACATTTCCATGTGGGCGTATAATAAAAATTGTGACCTGTATAGTGTCCACAAACAGTTGTGGACAGATGGACTGGGGCTACAACATTATACATCCACATGAAAGTGTGGTCGTTTAGGAAAATCCAAGCCAAAATTATTTATATTTTGGGTTGTATAGTTTTGACACTTGATAAAATATAAACAAATGTCAATGGCTGGAGTGGAGTTCTTCTTTTTAAGGCATCAAGAAAGTACAGTTTTTTACCATGTTATTGCATTTTCAAGTGCAGCTTTATCTTCATAATCTGATTCAACAAATTTATCTTTATAGATTCTACCACATAAACATATCATATCTGGTACAGCATTATCTGATAGATCAATAGCCTGTAATATAACATATATTATTTTCTCATTTAAATAAACACAAAATCTATTTTCAAATCTAAGCTTATTTTGTCTGTTGATTGTAAAAGAGTTTAAATCACTATGGTGTGAAAATAAAAAGAAACACATACAGGGTTTTAGACTTGAACTGCCTCGAAGAAAACAGATCGCATATACAAATCAAATTACTCTTATTACTTACACTACCATATTATGGATTGTTTTCAATAACGCTACATTGCAACTAGGAGTTAATTTCTACATCAAGTTTTAACACTTTTAATGCTTTTTGAATAGATATGTTTAAGCTCCATGATTCACTTTGACATACGGCTGTACAGAAACTGTTCAGAATGAATTTTCCATGTAAATTTGACAGTTTCTATAAGTTAAACACTTTCAATGCTGTTCATTTCTATGCTATGGAATTGAAAATGCTACATAAACAAAAACAAATCATGATCTTTTATGCATTTTACTAATATTTAATCATTCTGCATCTGTATGAATGTTAATTTACATAAAGGCAACATAAAACTTACTTTTGATATTACTTCTAAAGCCTTATCTCTGTCACCATTTTGATTTCTCCTATAAAATAATAAATTTAAAAAGTCTGCACATTCAGCTTACTTGCGACTTCATTAACATATAATATGTCACTTTCCAATACATTCAGCAAAAACAGCTACTTTAAAAAATAAATGTAGTATTAGTAGCTTACCGATTCAAAGCAAAGGCATACAATTGTAATATAGCTATTGTTGAAGATATTTTACTGTTAGGAATTTGTTCAAGATCTTTAATTAGCTTAACCATATTATCATAATCCTGTAAAAAGAAAAGGAAGAACATTAGTACTGGGGACTTAACTGAAATTGGTACCAGTAACCAAATTCAATTAACAAATAACAGTAACAAATAAATCCAATTTAGAATAATTAGCAAATAAACTGCATTACTGTGACTATTAGATAATTTACAAGATATCAGGCTGACCTTAAAAATATCTTTGTTTCGCCTAACGCGACCGACTAACTAAAACCACCCCCGACTTAAATTATTTTATTGCACTTTTCCGCGATCTTTTTATTTTATTTTGTGTGTCAACCTGAAATATATCACGAGAGTTATTTCCCTTTACTATGGCTATGGTTTGATTCATTATTGAAACTGGTTGATCAAGACGAAATCATCATAGGTGTCGCTTCTCAACAAAATGGTTGCAGACGAAAGCACGTCCATTCCCACGAAATGATTCTGCCTCTATTTTTCTCAAAAACGGATATTTTCAATATCCGTTTTCGAGAAAAATGAAGGCACAACCCGCACGATCGTTATAAAACGTGTTGAGGGAGTTTCAAACGTCAGTTTGTGGCAATTCGTGTGCGAGTCGTGCATCACGAAAAATCCCGATGTCATTGATTTGTTTGCCAATAAAAGAAGACGAATGTTTGCACCCGGAAAATTATCAAGCTGTCAAATTAGCTCTTAAAAAAAAATCTGAAAAAAAAACCGACCTACCGACCCCTCTCCTCGATTGTGGGTCGGGTTTGGTGAAACAAAGATATTTTTAAGGTCAGCCTCAAGGATAGACCTTCCTGTAGCTCATTTACAATGCTTAATTACAAATAATTGAAACATGACTCTCAAAACTCTTAGTTTGTTTAGGTATTAATGTGAGCATATCACAATTCTATAAGTAAAACAGCCCAAACCTGTACTTCTCTATAAGATATCATCATATTAACTATAATATCTACTGATAAAAGCTGTGGATCATCCAATCTTCTTCTCATTCCTGCTAAAGCCTGTTAAAGTACAAGAAGCCAACATTCACCTAATAAACAACTCCACCAAGTTTGAATATTACAGCTCAATTAAAATTCAGTTATTGTGTCCGAACAAACGGACAAACAAATTTTAATAGTCCACTGCTTACCTCAAAAGGTGGGAGACAGGTATAGAAAACAGATTGAATGCACATTAATATGTACAAAAAACCCATTCTAAAAATCTGTATTCTTTTAATTTCTCATTTAATATTCAGTATATTCAAAAACATTGTTATTACATGAAGTATATTTTTACTATTACTAAGCTGTATGTATTTACCTCTTTCAGTTCATCTCCTTGTAAATTTGTAATGGCTTTCCTTAGGTCTTTTAAAAATCTTTCTTTAGAATGTACTCTGTTGATATAAAACATTTTAATCTAATCATAACAAAAATTAAAAGGAGATAATCTACCTGTTTCTGTTTTCTAACAAAAGATAGATAATGACAGCTACTTGAATCAAGTTTTAGGGGCCCCACGTTCTAGAGCCACTCTTAAAAGGACAATGTTGGTGTCAGCCAATATTAAATACGTGATAGAGCTGGTTAAACATGTTCCAAATATAATTTTAACAAAGAGGTCTTTGCAACAGTAGATGCGTAAAGAAGATTTGAAGAAACAGGAAATGACGCAAAAAAAAAGAGGAAAACACAAGTTATCCTTATACATAACTGACTGAATTAGTGAGAAAAAACAGATATACAGTTGTTATATTAGACGATGAGGATATCTGTTCAAAACTAACAATTCATAAAAAGAATTTTAAGTGATAATTACAGTTTATTCCAGTAGCCCTTTAAATATAGACATACTATTATTATTTTTTTTCTTTAAAAATACGACTCGCTCCGCCACATGGATTACAAATCGCAACACAGCGAACTAGTCCAGAGAGAATACAGTTTAGGCCTACTGCTTGTTTAGTAATGCTTGGCCTATTTACTGATAAATATTGTGCTATTATAGAAACATGTAAATATATTTATTAAAAACCCAAGACAAGCATACTCATAATGGTATATTATTACCAAGTCATGTGAATTATAATTCCACAGGCTACACCACGTAGATTACATATAGCAATTCTGCGTGCGACTATATGAACGTGATCTTTATTCCTTTGCCACCAACAACAAAAATAATTGCAAACTTGTAGCCTATCCAGATTGAATTTCAGGCCTGATTTGCACATTTTAAGCCCCTTTGTAATTTTCTTTTTCGTGGGTGTTGTATTTCAGAGCACTTTTAGTATGCCGGATGGGTAGTAGCTCCGGCTTCTGAAATAACGTCTGATTATAAGTAGTGGTCTGAGTTGCATACTAGGTAGGATACGCTTACACTTTCCAAAACACCTCATACCACTTCCCATGTTAGGAGTTCTCATACCTAGCCAGTATTTGTTTTACTTTTGTATATACTAGTCATTTATCGCGATATGGTATTTTCAGACCCAACTACGATATCATGTGGCCAAAAATCGTCGGTATAGCGGTTTATCGAATATCGCCAAAAACTTCAAATACCGAAAAAAATTATCATAAAAATAGATAATAAATACACTATACAGCAGTGGAAATTAGCCGACGGCAATAAACTATAATAAAACTAATGTTTTGAGAATCGTTAAATGTTGAAAACACTTGCGCAGTGTCCGCAGCCATTTTTCACTGCATCGTGTATACGTTACTTTTACTTTGTTTTTAGTCGACAATAAATTGTCAGTTGCTACTACATGTAACTACCAGGCTATAAATAGGTTGTCATATTTCTAAAAAACAAATATTTTTAGAAAACTCTATGAAACTTATAAATAGATTACTGTCACTGTTAGACCAGGAATACCGCAGCCAATCAAATGTTTGAATGGAAGATAGTCCAGATCTTTTAGTATTTGTTAAACTGTTTGAACTTATAATAAAAGACTTAAAGACCGCATCTACTTACATTGTGTACTTCCGCTGCACGTGATATTTGAGAGTTTTCTTACACAAGGTCACAAGCAGATGCCTGCGGGCGCTTTTTAAACATCAGCGGTTGTATTTAATTTAATTATGTGTACAGGCATAAGTAATGTCTCCTGTTATTGTGTTAAAAAGCATTGAAATGTTTTTATCCAAAAATAATGTTGTTTTGTTCATTTTAATAAATCTATATTATAAAGACCACATCTACTTACATTGTGTACTTCCGCTGCACGTGATATTTGAGAATTTTCTTACACAAGGTCACAAGCAGATGTTTGCAGGCGCTTTTTAAACATCAGCGGTTGTATTTAATTTAATTATGTGTACAGGCATAAGTAATGTCTCCTGTTATTGTGTTAAAAAGCATTGAAATGTTTTTATCCAAAAATAATGTTGTTTTGTTCATTTTAATAAATCTATATTATAAAAAGCAATGTTTAAAGTGTATGAATAAAGCAATTTTTATTCACAATTTTTACTCACACTGTAGTCCGCTTTAATGCATTTATATTTAATTTATTTAATAGCAAAGTGACATTATTATCAAATATCGCGATATTTAACTATATTGTTGAAAAAAATGCCAATATCGACATCGTCCCTTTTTGCAATATCGTACAGCCCTAACTGGTAAGTATATTTGTCTGGTTTGCAGATACGAAATACAGGCAAATTTGAATTGTCAGATTCGAACCGATATCCTCACACAATCTAATATAACAATTATCAGAAATAATTAAAACTTGACAAGAATTCTAATTCTTCCTGATGTTAACATTTATTATATAAAGCATGTACTGGTAATCCATAGGCTTCTTTATCCCATGAACAAAAGGTCTATGTATAAATGTCAAGTCAATTGAATGATAAGCTTAGCAAAACTAAGTCACATAAAAATCAATCTGATTAAAATGCAGATCCTATGTCGTTTTGTTTTTTATAGTTCAAAATTTTGTTTAACTTGTCTTGACTACACTGGGATCTGGAAGAGTTTTTATATAACCCACATTCAGGATGATGTGGGGGATTAACCAATGAAACAGTCTGTTATGGCGAGTTTTTGGCATGAGATGCACTGAACTATGGGTAACCCACTAGAAACATCAACGCTGATTGGTTAATCAAATGTCTGACATCATAGGGTCAAAAGTCACTTGTATGACCCCTGAAATAATTGCTAGTTCTTGTCATGAACACAATCTTGAAATGTAGTGTTGAATCGGACATCTAGAAAGTTTTGAAAAAGTTGATGATGGTAACTGTTATGCTATCTATATATTGTTAGAATACAGAAACTTTAAGAAACAAGATCCATACATTTGAATACAATTTGAAGATAAGTTTCAAAATTCCATATATAGACCACACAGAATTAGGAACTTGAATTAAGTATCATTATTTACACAAAATATTTCTACATTAATTTACCTATTAAAATCTTCCACATCATTGAGGGTTGATTTTAATTTTTTCAGCAATGTTGGTACATCATGATTTGCACAACTATCACCAGTAATTCTTGGTAATGATGGATCACTAACTATACATGCGTTACAACCATCTATTGTGTAAGCAAAAAATGTTGTACCAGTTCCACAAGAAAGCTGAAAATCAATATGTCCATAAAATATTTTACAAAATAAACTTAATTAGAATTTTTGGCACAATGACAGACTGTAGATGTATTTGACATAATTAGATATAAATAATCAAAACATTTAGATAACATGCCCAAATGCTAAAATGTTTAAACCAACAATGGTAAACTCTCAACTGTGACATTTTTTAACCAAAACACTCCATTTTGTTCTGTTTTTAACTTTCGTTTGTTTACCGCACTGTATATAGTCATTTCTTTATAATGTGTGTTTGGGTCCACTCATACAATTGCATAGAAACTTTTGATTGGTTGTCTAATCAAGGTCATAGACCCAGAACATGCTGTTATCAAACATATATACCGTAGTAGAAGTTAATAATAAGGCACCATAAACCCCATTAAACTTGATTGTACAGGGGAGAAATTTGACTTACCCGTAATGAAAGAGTTAATTCTGGATCAAAATCATAACATAACACTATATTATGCTTCATACCCATACTCTCTCTTATACCCAGATGATAAAACAAGGAAGCCTGCTGTATTGGTGTTGACATATCAACAATTGCTACATCAGCATTATAAAATGTATCAAGTACTGCCAGTTCTCCAAAATCTAACTTCTGGAACACAACTGTGTCCAACTTAGCTTTCACACTGAAAAATAATTTCAAAATACACTTTCAGTAAATTCCTAAAATTTGTATAACTCAGTTACTCAATTCACATTGTATTACCAAAGAATTCTTTGTCAAATATTGCACTTTGAGTGTTTTGCAAGTATGCATCTCTACATAAACCATACTGCACGCAGCGATCCATCTACATCATACTTCAAGAATCAATAACATCACTGTTCTAAATGCCACCCATTTAAAACGCTCACATGATCATTTTGGGGCGGGACTTATCGACTGGCCTACACCCAAAGCATATGGTTTATGTAAACAAATGTCAAGTTAGCGAAAATGTTGACTTTTGCCACTCGGGTAAAAGCGATATATAATATGTGCTAGTGAGTAATATTGCAATACAGTCTTTACCATTGTAAACTGTCTTTACAGTTTCAATCTGTTTATCTTTTAAAACAAGGTTAGATACTCCTAAATTTGTCTTCGCAAACAAAACCGCTTCTATGAAATTATCTTTCATGGGCGCCGCCATATTGAATAATTTTTAGTAGACTATTTCGTGATTCCGCTCTGATCAGTTTGACATCTTTCATACACACAACGGCTAAATAATCATATTTAATTTCATTCAATATGAAAATAGAAGAGAAATAAATACTTCTAAAAATTTCTAAAAGCATACTCAGTGTTTTCGACTAAAATCGTCGATGTAGGAATTAAAATGTTGGTTAATTAGCTTAGGGCCTGTTCTCAGACGGAGCTAGCTGTAGACAGGCAGCCTAAGTTTGGGATGTACATAAACTTATTGTTACTACTTACCATTCACATGCTCGCTGAATTTCAAGAAAGGCCCTTTCTTTTCCTTTAGTTCTTTCAATAGTTTCAATCACTTTTTCATTGGGTTTATTTATTTTATTTACATTTTTACCAGAATCACCACCAGCTCCATTTCCATCAAAAATACAAACCACAAGCATTTTGCTTCTTTTAGCTACTAACTAATTCTAAAAATGTATCATCAACCTGAAAAAGAAAATACATGTAACCTTGTGCAAAATATGTTAAAAATCTGAACTTTTAAGTTCAATTTACGCATCTTGAAATTTGACCTTGAGGCTCTCCCAAGGAAGCAATGTCAATAATGAAATGATATCAATTACTGGGCCATAGCTAAATTGTTATTATTTTATTTACCCAGGAAGACATAAAGATTGTGGTGTGAAATCAATAAACTTTCAAGCAAACTTCAGTTAGAGAATGGATGGATTTGAACTCATTTCTGGACCAAAATGATTTTTTATAAAATATGACTCGAGTCGTGACTGCATTTCTGCAATGGATTGGTAAATGGATTCAACATTTATCAATTCCAACATTAACTGGATATTGTCAAGTCAAATCTTGTCAAATTTAATTGTCTGACCAAGGAAGATCTTCAAAGTGTTAGCAGTGTCTCTTTGACTAGAGTACAACTTTAAACTACTAATATTGACTAGATATGGGCAGTATACAAATCAATAAAGTACACTGACAACTACATGTATTTGTAATTGTACTGTTTATTGTTGAGAATGAAAATAAATGCCAATACCTGTAAATAAATTTTACACTGTTGCAATATTATCAATTTGTGCATATTTATTAATACATGTACATACAAATAAATACCGAGTATGTACCGGGTATGTACATGTAATCGAATAACATGAGTTCTATAAAAAAAAAAATAAATGGTACAAATCAAAATGCATACCCTATAATATTAGTTCAAAATATCTAATTACTCCCGTTGCCTTTTATTTGGCCATGTAAAGAGCTTACAGTTTGGGGGGGGGGGGGGATAATTTTAAGTATCTCTTTTTGTAATTATTCCCAACCCTCAAAGAAATCACATGCAGCATAAACATAAACTCTTACAGCAACATTATGGTGAAATTAGCATTTACAACAACTATCTTTCTACAGTACCAATAGATACAAAATAGTGTTAATTATCTTTAAATGCATGACTACTTTGGCCCCACCCTACATGTATATTGGTAAACTTCTTGCAATTGAACACTGTACCATAAACCTTCACAAAATCTGTGATCCTCTACCGACACAGTACACATACTGTACTCTTATAACTTTATTCATAATACAATGTAGGGACCAGTCATTCTATGTACACTGTACCAGTTCCCTTGTTAGAGAGAGAGAGAGATGGGGATTAAGTTCACTGACCCAAACTAGGTCATTTCGGGACTAACATATGGTTCAAATTTATTTCAACAATTCACTTGCGCGTAGGGGTCTTTAACAGTGGGAGGAAACCAGAGGACCAGGAGAAAACCCAAGAGGTTGGACAGGCGACCCTACTCCTTGTCACGTACAACCAGGAGTCGAAAACATGCAGTTGAATCAATGACAGACCTAATGATACAACACGCTAACCATTCGGCCACTCAACGCCCCCGTTGTTATGGAACAAATAACCAATTCAAACCCGTAGGGTCACTGCCGCTGTCAATTACAAACTTATTTATTTAAAAATGCTTTTACCCAGTGATCCTTTTAATAGGTAGATTATTCACAGCTATTTTAATTACATAGTGCATACATGTAATTTCTCTGAATAACAATTTTTGCTAAAATTTTATTTATATTATTTTTTATCAAGTACCAGTATGCTCTTTGTTATCCTGTTTTATTATGTAAATGAAATAGTGTCTTGCTCTATGTTATCCCATTGCACATGAGCACACTGATATTGGAGATGTGTGTTATAACAATATGTAATAATATATATTAATAAGATAGAAAAAGATTGCGATGGTGGAATATCTATTGTTGCTGATAGGTGTGTAGTAAACTATGATGCAAATACCTATAAAAGGCGAGAGGATGTAGAAGTGCCTGTTCTGCATAGGGCTGAATGTGGATAAAATATTTCATAAATCAACATTGTAAAGCAAATCAGCAGTCCACCAACCCTTGTCACATCATGATTTTCATAAAATAAATTTACAGGTGTCCATCTAACATAATTGCAGACACTGGTTCTATTGTCATAAATGTACATATTTTACAGGCTTTTGTTAATGGTCCCGAACAACAAATTCCTTAATTTTAAGTCGCCTTACATTTTATATTTATTAATTCCAATAAGATAATAGATACATACATGGATACACAAAGTTATTAATTAAGGTTAGATTTATCTGATACAAGTAAGTTTGCAACAATACTAAAAAAAATATCAATATTGGTAAAATAAATTATCGCGATATCATAGATTATCATTGGGAGTAAATCATACCGATAATTAGAATTATTGTGCTTTAAAAATTCATTATCCTGATGATTACTGATCATGTAAAATCAACATACATGTAACTTGTGGTGTATAAATGGATTAATTCATCTAGTGTATTCGTTTGGTATATGCTGGGGTAAGAATATTCATTCTCTTCCAATCAGCCGGTGCCAAAGGCTTGACATGTTTCCACCAGGTGTTTTAGTTTTAGACACTTTATATGTTACCGCGCCCTTGTTGGATGTTCTTTTTAAACCAAAATGTTCCCACACGACAGAAGAAGTGTTCTTTTTAGGTGTCAGCATTGGTGTACATGTATTTTCGGGGTCTGCCGAACATCATCAGAAATATTCCTATTGACAAAGACATTGGCAGTTTCAAGCTCGAAAGCCATATTATTCAAAAAATAAAAGCAATATTATCCAGACTATTTTACTATGTACAATATCAATGTAATTTTGAACGGGCCACTGCTTTGTTACTATGGCGACATGTACCGTTATAATGTCAGTCATATTATAAATATTGTGGATGCTTTCTTAAGCACAGCCTACACATGTAAGATAAGATTTAAGATTAATATCATTCAGTGAAATGTACTTGAAACACAAGACTAGCTTCTTTCGGGAATTATGATCTAAAATTTAAATATCGCGATATTTTTTAGAATATTTGCGATTATCACGATATTTGAGATTCCATTGATTGCTCCATACAACATACAAGGCATTGACTGATAAAGATAGGAATGGCAGGAATGTATTTTTGGAAAGGTAAAGAAACAATTATCAATCTGTGTATACCAGTATAAGGTGTGTACTGTGTACAAAGTCTTAAAATCCACTTAAAATTTGAAGATTCGGAGGGACACAAAAACCTGGGCTTATCTTCCTGACTCTTCTTTCTCTGGCTGTCAACCTTCAGAATATAATCTTACAACCACGAAAAGGGCTATTGAAGGAGTCAGACACATTTTGGATCACAATTTATACTTTTGATGGCCTACACTACATGAAGATCTGACCAGTTGTAGTGATAAGTCATGTCAGGGGTTGTACATGCAGGTTTTGACCCTATGACGTCAGACATTGATTAATCAATCAGCGTCGACGTTTCCAGTGGTTTACTCGCAGTTCTGTGTATCGCATGCCAAGAAGTCACCGTAACAGATCCAGAATGCAGGTTACATAAGAACTACAGACCAATAAAAACGGAATTTTCAACTATAAAAAATGAAACGAAATAAGATCTGTGTTTTAATCAGATTGCAATATATAACTATGTAAAAATTTGTTAAAAATACCCAAGCAAAAATCACAGTTTACAAGCTATTTGCCATACATGCCCTGATGGAGAAAGAGTCGGATTATACATATAAGGTTACTCACTTTGAACTACGGAAATTTATATAAACTTTTTTTTTTTTTGATCAGCCAGAGTGCATGAAACAAACTGTTCAAAGAGCTTTCTGGAATTTTTAACAAAGCTGGAGTGACTCCAAAGAAGGTTAAAGTAGCTAAGTCTCTAACTCAATATCATTCAAAGACAAAATAAACATTTTACCCTTGGTAGCCTACACGAATCATGTACCACCATAATGCGTTTCAGGCCCATTTTTAACAAGGGACTCGAAGAACGAAGCTAGACATATTCCACAAGTCATGTTAAACGTTGCGAGCATTCATATCTGGAGAGTATGCGCAATAAATAACATGTAGACTAGAATAACCAGACGCCTGAGATTGTCATTCGATTGAGACTTCTGGCGTATTTTGCCGAACAGAACTGATTTGAAATTAGAGTAAAAACAGAATCGATTGAATGTAAATCAGTTTATATACATTCATATTACATTATTATATGCGTTGCAACCAATTTGTGTCAATTTCTAGGTCCCAAATATTAACGTTTAGCTCCTTTAACAATTGTCTATTCAAATCAGAAAAAGCTAAATCTATTTAGCCTGAAAACAATTAAATTTACTGTTTCATGTACCTATAGTTTTGTTTCTATAGTGCCAACTACTTAAATCTACGAGCAAAATAAACACTAAAACAGACTGTACTTTAATTAGGCCTAAAAAGTAAAAGTTAGGCCTACTTCAATTTATGAGAATCATTCATGGAGATACGAGTGTGTCACCAAAATCAGGCATAATTGCGAGAACTTGGCCATATTAATAAACCTACCGAAGAACTCAATGAAGTAATGTCTTCTAAAATCTATAGTATTATTATTAATCTAGTTTTACAGAAAGAGAAAGACCACAAGACAGTTAGCACCTACTCTCTGTGTCCTGCTGAGTCCTCGACAAACTCACTGAACACCGTATGAATCGTGCGTTTCACACAAGAACATAATTACCTGCAACATGTGCGTTAACATAATCCCTTCTGCAAAAAAATACAAATACTCTAGTGAAAACTCTGGTTTGTTGACAACTATGTATTTTGGTTACAATTATTGATCTCAAACAATTTCCAGGACGCCATTTGCTAATGCTGGTGACTTCCCTTCCTCTGCTATAGGTCAAGGTCAACTATATCCGGTAAGAGTTCGCAATGTTTACGGAACATGAATAGGAATGGAATAACAAATTTAAGTTATTTCAACCAATGAAAATGGCAAATATATAGATATACCTTAGAGTTATTAATCTATGAGATATACCTGTTAGATATATTTTTTTAACCAGTGCGAAATGAAATTTGGTTTGACATTCTACTTTTCTGCACCAGCGTTATATTTATTTTATTGGTGCTGCATGTCAGGGGTGGATATAGGAATTTTGAAAAGGGGGGGGGGGGGTGCAATTCTCCGTATAGCCAACCGGGGGCAAGCCCCCCCCCCCCCGAAAAAATGATTTGCCCCCCGAAAAAAACGTTGTCGACCATAGTTGTAAAAATACCTACTGTTTGTAATGGCAGCAGTAGAGATCATGTGGAATCTTGTTTTGGGGACGTACGTGGTACCTTGCACCCAGTCTCATTAGCCTATTGATCTGACATCTATCTGCCACATATTTTGTACTGGCTTGCCTAATGGCCCACAGTCGTGGAGTCCCTGTCTTGTCACTATGTTCATTCTTCAGAGTGTGCGAGAGAACCATTTTCTGTGCTGGAAAACGCGTTTGTCGTCGGCCATAATTTTCAAAATTGTTCCGGGGGTGGAGCAGTGACGGATCATGGCGATGTCAACAGAGGCAGATGCTCGCGATTTGGTGACAAAAAATAAATAAATTTATATTTGTTAGAAAAAAAATAATGAAGACCCATTTCCCAAAAATCGTAAAATATAGTGGCCCTTTTTCGATGAGTTTTGAAATTATTAGGTAGTTGATATCAGAAATGTTTCCACAACCTGAAACTCGAAATATTATTTATGGTTGACATGTAGCCGTCTTGTTAATTGTCCAATATTCTACTTTTCTGCACTACCGTGATATTTATTTTATTGGTGCAGCATATCAGGAGCGGATACAGGAATTTTGAAAAGAGGGCGGGGGGAGTGCAATTCCCCGTAGCCAAATGGTGGCAAGCCCCCCCCCCCCCCCCCAAAAAAAATGATTTGCCCCCCGAAAAAAAACGTTGTCGACCATAGTTGTAAAAATAACTACTGTTTGTAATGGCAGCAGTAGAGATCATGTGGAATCTTGATTTGGGGACGTCGTGTACATTGCACCTTGCACCCAGTCTCATATTAGCCTATTGATCTGGGGCCTGTTTCACGAAATTTTAACTAAGATAAAATCCAAATTTTAGTAATTTGATTGGATAATATTAGATTGATTTTAGTGCTTAGCCAATCAAAATTCAAGTATTTACTAAAATTTGGATTTTATCTTAAGCTAAGATTTCGAGAAACAGGGCCCTGACATCTATCTGCCATATATTTTGTACTGGCTTGCCCAATGGCCCACTATCGTGGAGTCCCTGTCTTGTCACTATGCTCATTCTTCAGAGTGTGCGAGAGAACATTTTCTGTGCTGGAGAACGCGTTTGCGGTCGTCCAATTTTCAAAATTTTCCGGGGGTGGAACAGTGACGGATCATGGCGAGGGCAACTGAGGCAAATGCCCGGCGATTTGGTGACAAAAAATAAATAAATTTATATTACACAGTTAACAAGAGCATCGCTAACGCAGCAATATACGTCCACATTCCTGTTTTGTTTGATATGGTCCAGTTTGCATTGAGGGTCTGTGAAATAAAACTGGGTTGTAGGACTGCTATCAGTTTAACACTTCGTTCACATTAACAGAACACAATTTTTATTTTAAAACAATCGATGTCTTTATTCTAAAAGCATGACGTTTCGAATAGGTATGCAAAGTTTCAAAAGGATCTGTTAAGAATTGCGGTCTGTAGGCAAAACACAGGACACACAAACGTTAGGCGTGGCTCTGTCCCAAGGGGTCGAGCATGCACCAAAAATAATAATAGAGGTCGGCCTTAGGATTAAGGAATAAGTATAAAAAGTAGCCTTAGGCTATAAGGAATAAGTATAAAAAAGTTTTCAAGATGATCGATTAAGAAATGCGGTCTGCAAGTGACACACAGACATAAAAAAAGAAAATGGGCGTAGCTCTGCCCCTGGGTGTTGGGTATTCACCACTAATAATAGGGATGTTCCTTAGGATAGAAGGAATATGTATGCTAGGTTTCAAGGTGATACGATAAGAAATGCGATCTGTAGATGACAAACAAATAAATAAATATAAGGGATGGGCGTGGCTCTGCCCCTGGCGGTCGGGCATGCACCAAAAACAATAGGGATCATCGTTAGGGTATAAGCAATTCATATGAAATTTTTTCAAGACGATTGATTAAGAATTGTGGCCTGTAGGTGACACACAGACATAAAAAGAAAAGAAAATGGGCGTGGCTCTGCCCCTGGGGGTAAAAAAACAATAGGGATGATCGTTAGGGTATAAGCAATTCATATGAAAAAATTTCAAGACGATTGATTAAGAATTGTGGCCTGTAGGCGACACACAGACATAAAAAAGAAAATGGGCGTGGCTTTGCCCCTGGGGGTTGGGCATGCACCCAAAACGATAGGGATGTTCCTTAGGGTACAAAGAATAAGTATGCAAAGTTTCAAGATGATACGTTAAGAAATGTGGCCTGTAGACGACAAACAAACAAATACAAAAAATGGGCGTGGCTCTGCCCCGGGGAGGCTTGCATGCACCAAAAACAATAGGGATCATCCTTAGGGTATAAGGAATAAGTATGTAAAGTTGATACGTTAAGAAATGCGGTCTGTAGATGACAAACAAATAAATAAATATAAGGAATGGGCGTGGTTCTGCCCCTGGGGGTCGGGCATGCACCAAAAACAATAGGGATCATACTTAGGGTATAAGCAATTCATATGAAAATTTTTCAAGACGATTGATTAAGAATTGTGGCCTATAGGCGACACACAGACATAAAAAGAAAAGAAAATGGACGTGGGTCTGCCCCTGGGGTCGGGCATGCACCCCAAACGATAGGGATGTTCCTTGGGGTACAAAGAATAAGTATACATAGTTTCAAGATGATACGTTAAGAAATGCGGTCTGTAGATGACAAACAAATAAATAAATATAAGGAATTGGCGTGGCTCTGCCCCTGGGGGTCGGGCATGCACCAAAAACAATAGGGATCATACTTAGGGTATAAGCAATTCATATGAAAAATTTTCAAGACGATTGATTAAGAATTGTGGCCTATAGGCGACACACAGACATACAAAGAAAAGAAAGTGGGCGTGGCTCTGCCCCTTGGGGTCGGGCATGCACCCCAAACGATAGGGATGTTCCTTAGGGTACAAAGAATAAGTATGCATAGTTTCAAGATGATACGTTAAGAAATGTGGCCTGTAGACGACAAACAAACAAATACAAAAAATAGGCGTGGCTCTGCCCCTGGGGGTCGGGCATGCACCAAAAACAATAGGGATCATCCTTAGGGTATAAGGAATAAGTATGTAAAGTTTGAAGATGATCACTTAAGAATTGTGGCCTGTAGGCGACACACAGACACACACACACACACACACACACACCCACACACACCCAGGGGCGACGGCAATATACGTCCACATTATGAATGTGGACGTATAAAAATAATAAGGAAGTTTACACCGTGGTTGTAGATTAAGCATTATCCCCTCAAGGATGGTTTGTAAATTACACTTCTATATTAATTATTACACCAACACGGGTGTAATTTGTTTTGTTGGATATTTATTTCACGCCAACGACTTCTAAGTTCAGAAAACTTGAAATTGGCTATCGGTCTCCATGATAATTAGTATAGGGCGTTTAGCCCGACCCAGATTACATATAGACCGTCGGCTACTGAATAATGTGGTTTATTTATTTATGCACCTCACCTGAATCAAGAATTATTAATTAAGATTTTGTACTTGGTAATATTTTGGAACATTTACACGTCTTTAAGTGTATACAAGCTAAAATAATCTATACTTTACTGGTTATGTGTAAACACTCAAATATGAGTTATAGTTGTGTTACTAGTGAAAATTAAAGCCATATTTTACAAAAAAAACCACTTAAATTGGAGTACACAAATATTTTTGTAACGTATCTTATTCGTAGAAATGTTTCCCTAAAATAATTACACCTGTTGGTGTAAATGCAATGTGACGCTTGTATAGGAATAGCTCAAACCAAACACCCATTAGCGGCTACAATTACACCTCTCCTGGTGTTCAGTACTCATGAATATCGATTACACTTTTGCAACCCAATAAACGCTGTTCTATGATTTATTCCCCAATAATAGTTAAACCCTTTGGTGTAAATGGAGTATAACACATGTAGTGGTGTAGCTTATCCAAAACACGCCACAATTACACCTATTCAGGTGTTCAATAGTCATGAATATCGGTTACACTTGTTAGGTGTAGTTCTTTTAGTCGGTTACTCTTGGAAAGGTATTACATTTAAACCAAGCTAGCTGTGGTGTAAAGTTTACACTTAATTAACACTGCTTGTAGTTTTTAATTACACCCATTTTTAACAGTGTAGTTAGAAAAAAATAATGAAGACCCATTTCCCAAAAATCGTAAAACATAGTGGCCCTTTTTTGATGAGTTTTAAAATTATTAGGTAGTTGAAATCAGAAATGTTTCCACAACCTGAAACCCGAAATATTATTTCTGGTTGACACGTAGCCGTCTTGTTAATTGTCCAATATTTCCGCCGGGGCCCAGTTTCTCACTCAACCAGCTCGCTTGACAAGAATCGCGAACCGATATATACTCCACAGACCACCAATCGCTTGGGTATTTATAAGTTTCGGTTACAGGCGCAATAACTGCAAAAAATCTCTATACAGTTTACAATTGTTTGTGACAGCAGCACTTATGTATATATAGTTAATTCGTGACTAAATGTCATAGAATTATCGTAGCAGACTTTATCACCTGTAATTTCACACAAGGTCATATAAAAAGGTCGTATGTAAATTAAAATATGACTTATATCTCAGATCCACCT